ACATTTATAGCTGGTTTAGTTAATTACTAGCTGGATGCATCACGCTAAAAACATGTAAAAATATGTTATAGTATGTTAAAATTGTCTTCGCCCGTTATTAATGAGAAAAAACGTTAAACATTAATATTCTGGTTATTGTAACTACTTGGCTATTCGTGAGACGCGTTCTAGATACAGGTGCCAAAGTTCGGCTGCCATTCAGCAACCTTCGACAGGGCGAAATGCGCTGAGATGGACTGCGCACGCGTTTATGTAAAGTGAGGTTCCCCTCCACCCATTGCGGTGCCAATGCGGTAATAAAGCTACGGCGAATCAGGCAACGGAACCTCTAGGCGAGGTGAGAGAAGGCGGTCAGTCCGTGGTCGGACGTCAAGGAGCAGCTGTGACCGTGCCCTGACTCGATCGTCTTCAAGCAGACTGGCCTGCAAGAAATCTTCACTCTTGCGCAAAGAATGGGGTTGCCAAGCGTCTCGTTGACCCAAAAGATGCTCTTCTTCCTCCTCTACATATAAAGCTGGGTTTGAAAAATGTGAAATCTATGAACCAAGCTGGACCGCCCCTTAAAGAGAAAAAATGTCTTAAGTATATTAAGTGATGCAAAAAGTGCGAAAGGTATTTTCGTTGGACCACAAATTCAACAATTTGTGAAGGATCTCACGTTTGACAGTTTTGGAGGGAAAAGAAAAAGCTTGGGAGGCGTTCAAGGGCGATATTCATGTATTTTAGGCTACAAAAGAGATAACTACAATGAGTTGATGGCAGTAATTGTGCAAAAATAGCATGAACTCGGATGCATCGTCTCTTAAGATCCATTTTTTCCACTCCCACCTAAACTTCCTCACTCTAGTGGAGCAATCTGTGATGAAATCGAAAAATCAGGGCATTTATTTAATTGAACAAAGATATAAGGGCCGTTGGAACGAAGCAACGCTTGAGGATTACTGCTGTCCTGTATGTAGAGATGCTTCGGAACTCACATGAGGGAAACCAAAAAACGGCGAGATCTCATGAAGCCACCACATAATTCTGTGCATGATCTGGGCTGTCCGGGTGACGCTGCGTCGAAGGCTGTGTTGCCGACGTTTCGACCATCTTATCGTGGTCTTCCTCAGGGCTCGTATGCTCGCATGGCCAGCCCAGATCACGCACATGACTGGCCGTGGAAGCCTACGACTTAACCTCATAATTCTCTTCAAACCCAATTCAGGTATTTTCCTATGAATTTAGAACTCATTTAAAAATATTAAAGTGAACTTCCAATGTTGCTGGCATGTATTAAAATGTATAGTTTTCTCTTAATCTGTTAAATAATTCCGTCTATTGGATATCACAGAAACAAGATCTAACAACAAATTTTCTTTTAATGAGTTTTTCTCATCACACTATTAGTAACATTTGACTTGTAAAGTGAAGGAAACATTTAATTTTTTTAATGTTTCATTCACTTTTGACACCACTCTCTTCTCGTTTGATACTCTAATCCGTCATAAGGTCCCTTTCCATTACACGTTGCGAAGCATTAAGCCCGCTTTACACGGTCATTTTTGCATCATTTCTCGTCGGTACAGACAAGTTACTGACCAGACTGGATGCAATTTGTACGGAAAAATGAAGCATGCTTCATTTTTCCGTACAAATTGCATCCAGTTTGACTATGGCGCTCCTGGTGTTACTCTATGGAACTTTCTTCGATTCCGTGCCCTGGAGAGTTGTTTGAACGTTAGAGCGTTTTGGGCTGTTTTTCAGTCATTCTCATGAACTGACGATAACAGTGTGGGTCTTCGAAGCGCAATTCGTTGTCTATCATGTGTAGCAGACCCACACCAGTCTCTCTTTTCTGCACCTAGGATTTAACCCAAGTACAGCGTTTCTTTCTTTTACGTTCTGCTTTTACTATAGCTGAAGCCATAATAATGTGAGCTGCCGCCGTAGCGATCACTGCTTTCCTTTCCATTTCCAACTCAAAAATCACAATACTTCACACGACTATCTACCACCTCTGCGAATACGTAACCATCTCATCATTCTTCCCACGTATTGCAATTGTTTACGTACGTGCGATGTTCAACTGTTTTAACTTCCAGCGCTTTTTGCGGCGTGTGGAGGAAGTATTTTCATCACGATTGCATACAGAGCAGAAATGATCGTGTAAAACATCGGAATCACGTTCATCCAGTTTCGGTACCGAAACAAACGCACATCCTTTTTCCATCCATTTTCTGTACAGAAAAATGATGCAAAAATGACAGTGTATAGCGGGCTTTACACTCATTGAAGTCATTTTTGGGGGACCATAAACTCACAATTTTTACAATATTTCTGTAATACTAGGCACTGACCCCACGCGAGAATTATTTCCGTTAACACTGTTAATTTTGTGTGAGAAGTGTTCTGGGTTCACGTTGAAGAAGATAAATTCTTGTGATGCTTCAGAAATACAGGAAAAGCAATTATTTATGAATAAATGTTTCCTCTGAAATAAAGCACAAAAAATTACACCGGGCAATGAAAATGGCGTCAAATTTTGTCGCACCTGATGTACAGAGATTCATTTTCCGTTAGATGAACAAAACAGTATAAATCGAAGAAAATTTAAAACTGGTGGCAGGACAAACCGGATTGCAAATTGCCGATTCTACATTTATTGTTGACAGTAAAAATCCGTTTCGGTGTTGTGCCACTATTTGAGAGATTTTGAATTATCAACATTGTAATTTTGGAAACGAGATTAATGTTCAAAATTGATTAAATAATTAGTTTAACAATTTTTATTACATTTCTAAAATAATTACATTTGATAATTTTTGGAAAAAAGCTATCAAACCTGTTCAAGATGGACCTCTCCAAGATGAAAATATTTTCTAACTCGAGGAAAATCATGAGTATTGACGTCATTAATATTGTCAAGTGTTCCAATGGCAGCGTTATTGCAGAACCATGAATATCTGGAAATACTTTCGCGGGAAAATACAACTTTCTTTATATGAGAAGGCGAAGGTGTATTACTTGCATTAAAAAGATAAACGAAGTGTACGGAAATACTGAGGCATTTTGTGAAAAAAACAGATCTATACTCAAAGATATCATTCTAACTCCACAAATAATGTAGATTGAAGGAATAGTTGGAGGCAAGTGCGTTTCAGCATTACACAATGCAATTTTTATTTAACATCAAAAACTGTTAAAACTGTGCGACGTTTAATGGGGAGAAATGTGTTCTGTGTACGTTATCTTAAATTCTGGGGTCATTACTGTAAACCGTACCAAGTTGAATTCTGAATACAGATGGAAATTAGCATTGTTGGCAAGATTTGATAAAATATTCGCTCCGGTGAGTAAAAGTGATTTGCAAGGTCAAATCAGCTGTAGATTTTGGCCACATATTATCCCCAACATGCCCTTTATGAAAAATGTACTTCCTGACTTAAAGAAATGGAGAATGATAATTTAATGAATAATATTTCGTAGAGAACTCTAGAAGACGTGCACAAATAGCGAAGTTATATTTATGTCCAGAAGCAAAACAAGGGGCCATCTCAGCTTTCGCTGAAAGGATGAGGGAAAGTAGTTGAGTGTGGCAGACGTGCGGGTGCTCTAAAGGCAAATGCAACGTCGGAGGCTCGCGGAGCTGTCGCGAGCAGCGTGGAATCGGGCAGGGGTTGGAAGCCGCTCAGCAGCAGGGCAAGAGGCTTCGCAAGGGATGTACATGCGCAAGCATCCAAGACGGTACGAATAGAAATCGAAACTAATATAATATGTTACGTGATTTTAACATTGTGGGTAGTGATAGTGAACGTCTTGCAGATCATTTAGCAGTGGACTTCAGAGTCAAATCACGTTTCCAGTGGGAAGTTGAATATTTGCAGCCTGACACTCACTTGTACCATAGTAAAAGACGTGATTGAAACTGCAAGAAATTTTGAACATATATTTTATTTGAATTTGGAATTAGTTAGTCAAATAAAATGAAGGTATTTTTTAAATTTAAAAATATAAAGCATAAAAATACGTTAAAATCGAATGTAACAAGTTTTTCGTGGTGGAGTTGGGTAGCAAGTAATTGTATATTTATTTTGGATTAAGATTATTTTTCAAACGTTATACTTTATTTCGCGTTTTATTTTCGTACGTGGAAACACCCGTAAGATAAACAATTATTTCAATAAGTAATTTGTGTTTTGTTTAAATTTCGTTATTTAAAACGTTTTTCATAATTTAATAAATGATTCTGGAATACCAAAATGTTTATTGCTCCCAATTTGCAGTTTCCTCTCACTAGCAACGTGTACGAAACGTGCGACAAATCGCCTGCGCCTTTGTTTTCCCTCTCCACAAGCGTCCCTCTCCCGCGGATAACACCCCACTCAGCTCGCGTGCCGAGCCGTCAGCCAGCAGAAGTGGACACGGTCTGTTTGTCACGGTCAAAAGTGTTTTCTTTCTTGAATAGGTTTCACTGTATTCCCGTTTCGAAAGCTCGAAGTTGTCACTTCGTGGCTTGATATGAGCTTGTTCCTTAGATGCCATCGTCTTTTTGTAAATAGCCCCATACAAATTTTAGAAAGTTTTAGAAGTGATTTTCTTCGCGGTATAGATAGTCCACACGAGTTACAGCAAAATGAAAAGTGCTACTGTTATTTTGTCTAAAGAATGTGTGGATTATTAAAACAGTTATTGCCTTTTCCCGATTCTGAAAATTGTCTCGATACGTTCGTTGAGAAGCCACCACGCCACAATCACGCGGTGAAAACGCTACCGTACGGGGACTCTTGCCCACCTTCGGGTCCGTTTCCTGAAGCTGCTCCATCCCTGCTCCACAGATGCCGTAACTTCTCTTTTGACAAGGCGCGCCTTCGCCTAGGTCTGCATCAAGTTTACTCTTTTTGCACAATTACGTACTGTATTGCGAAATTCTCTGGAATGCCACTGAAGCATACTTCAGTGTGGTCTTAAGTACTATGGTCGCAGTTTGTGTTGCTAAGAGTCATTGTGTGTCTGTCCAGGGACTGGGCACACGCCACTGGAGAACGACCTGACATCCCAGCAACGGAGTGCAATGCGGCTGTGGAGTCGCAACTCTGAAGACATCAACTCGTTCCTGCCGCAGACGAAGCTACGGCCAAACGAGCATTCTCAAGAGTCGATGCTGAGGAACGTGGAACGTAATACATCGAGCTCGTCTTCTATCCTCTTCAGTGACAACCGCGCGCTCGCAGGAAAGCGGCCGTTCAACTGCGACATTTGTGGAGCTGCTTTTAATTGGCCTAGCAATCTCGTTGTTCACAAGCGCACGCACACCGGAGAGCGTCCATACAGCTGCGAGGAGTGCGGGAAAGCATTCAGCCAGAAGCAAACTCTGGACACTCACATGCGCATTCACACGGGAGAGCGGCCATATCGCTGCGACGTGTGCGGTAAGGCCTTCAACGACCGAAGCACTCACGCCCGTCACAAGCGGAGACACACTGAAGTGCGGCGATGAAACGGACAAAAAGCGCGCCATGACGAGCGAATGTAGTGTTGTATTAGATAAGTGAAGAGAATTCCACAGATACCAACGTTCCACATAAACACGTGGCCGATCGTTTGGCTGAGATATATGTAGAATGACGCTCATTTATGGACGTGGAGCAAACAGAAGCCACAACGTTGCGAGTGCGATGCGTCATTCGAGTTCAGAAGGTTTAATTCTCAAGAAACAGCACTCGAGGGGCGATCATTGGACCGCGCCTTGTGGCTTTCTCAGCTCTGGAGGCCTGTTCTTTCAATAGTTGCCACCATAACTACATAGGTAGAGAGAGCCACACAAGAACTCCGCGAAGCCATCTAATACAAGTGTTATATATTGGGCGTAGTCAAATATAGTTTCGTAGATGGAGATATTTGCCAAAACAATTAACAATTAGGTGGGATTTTCTTACAAAATAGACGCATACAGTAATATTGCTTTATTTGGCGTGATGTAATCACCTTTTTTGTAAGGTCATGTCTTATTTTTTACTCTGGAAACCGAGTTTATTAAAGAATTCTTTTAAAAAACCTCGAATCATAACATGTGATATTAATGATGAGATCAAGTTTTGTTGAGAATATAATTCACTACAACAAAAATGCAATGTAATAAACTGAATATTATTCTTTAGATTAATTTTAGTTTATTTTTTAATTATCTGTCACATGGAACACGCATTGTTATGCATTGTGAATGAAATGTAGTATATTCCTTGAATGACATTGCCATTTGCTTTTCCAATTGTTAGTCATTTAACATCGTTCATCTTAACCCTTCATGACATGCACCATTTTATATTATCACTGATCGCCATAAGATTGTTTAAAAAACAAATGCTCCGTTTGAGTCTTTAACTCATTTGTTTATGACATGTCAGGAGAACAAAAGTTCCCATATTTGGATCTCGGTACGATCAAATATTTGTACTAAGTGACAATCCATTTCCAATTGATATTATTGCAAAAAACGTAAGGTCAATTTTTGAAAGTTAAAATAAGAGAAATAAAGTAAACAGATGAATCCATCTTTTTGCTTCATTTTTCTATTTTCTTGAATCGGTGCTAGCTTTGATTTCATTCCATCTTCGAATCTGCTATCTATCGGCTCTTAAAAGACCTACAACTAAAAGACCAGACCAAAGAAGAGCACCTTAATGCTTTTACTGTATCGCTTAGGTATCGGCGGATGGATGGTGTAACGGTTAGCCTATCTGGCTGTTGTACCCGAGATCGCCTATTGAAACCCTATCAAAGCTGTGGATTTTTAAGGGCAAAAAAACAACAACCGGAGAGCATACCGACATCGCAGCGACGTAACACACAGGCACAGCTCCCTAGAGAACGCATTTGATGAGAGCGGCTTTGCGGACGCAGTAGCTGACCCGCGTCAGGGCGACAATTTTTGTTCCACCGTGGAACAACGCATTTTTGCAAGTACGAAGCAATGAGCTTCTCTAATCCCTTAGGGCGTAAATAAATTACACATAGTGTGCGCATCTGACACACTAACGACGACTCTTCTTCAAACGGCTGGAAAGAAGCAGTTTTTATCGAATAGAGTAATTTGAAAAGCATGCCAATCGAGGGAAGAACGCTCCAAGCCAATAATTGTTCGATAAAGTTCAGAACTTTCTCGAATATCTGAAGTCAACAAATAGGACAATGCGGTAGTCAGATGATCAAGAGACTGCGAGTAAGAGAGGATGTTTTTTTAGGGATAGGCTTCGAGCAAGGCGCTGAAAACTTTCTTCGGTCGAAAGCTTTGAAGACTTCGATCATAAATTTCAAAGTGTACACTTCAGGCACAGATATCAACTGCTTCAGGCAGAGCTTTAAAAAAATTTCGATCACAGCCTGGAAAGTAAATTCAGTTAGAAACGTTTTGAAGATTTGGGTAGCAATTTCAATAGCCATGCATAAACAGGGCCTTGCTGAAGAACCCGGCGTCTGAAAGAGCCCCACGATTGAAGCCGATTATACTTCGGTTTTTATAATGTGGCACTCCAAAACGTCTTCAGAATGGAATATCAAGGCATTTCGCGTCTTTCTCGGTCGTGACGCTAGATGTTGCACGATCACAAGCACTCGGTGATACGGCCGCTGTCATGCGGCATCTAACGCCACGACCGAGAAAGACGCGAAATGCAGTGAGATATTCCATCTTGAAGACGGCTTAAATGCCACGTTAGAAAAACCCAAGTATGATAGGGGAGGCGAGGCAGCTAGTCAGCACGGGTTACCAGGCGCGGACTATAGCTGCCGACTCGCAGCTCCGGGCGCCATCTGATGCTCTGTTACCAGCCAACCGACACCAAAATTCTGTCGGCGTGCAGTTGTCGGAGAAGCATGACCACCGGTCGGAATAATTACACCGGACTAGTCATTATTACTTGCCCTGACCATTAATAGAATTAAATTCTCTGGACAGAAGGCTCCTGCAATGGATGGCATCTCATGTATAATTCATTGTCATTTGTATTTCTTCTTTATTTTATTATATTTGTTCAAAAAAATGTTTACCCAGACCTTTGAACAAATGTAATTATCAAAATGATATTATTACTCTAACATAGTCACAATTTGGATTTCTTCACGACTGCGGAACAATTCTGTGAGCGCGATTGCGTCCAACAAGGTGACGGGAAGGTGACAATTATATACGAGTATATTACTTTTTAGGTCAATTTTTAACAACTTCGTCATATCACTATGATTGCTTTAACTGTCAGGGAAATTGTAGAAAGAACACGTAAGGACAACACGAACATCCATGCCTGAGAGGCAGAATTTCGAACCCTTTATTGCGTTATTAATTTGAATTCCTTTATTATGTTAGTTAATTTGAATAAATTTGCATCCGTCACTTTGACGAGTTGCTCCATAAGAAAATCGTGTTCGGCCTATATGCCATTTAGTAAAATCAGTAGAAACCATGCACGTTTCCCGACACGAAGCTGCTCACCCCCTGATATTCATAAAGGCCGACACCCAACGAGGTCCAGGTTTGTATCGCATGTCCAAGAAACCGCGTATGTAAACTTTGAGATGCACCATAACGTCTGTTAACGAGCGCCCCCTACTTTTGGAGCTTAATGTGCTCGTAACGTGATATTGGACGTCGCACCAATGTTAACGTACTCATTACGTGACATTTGACGCCCAACGAGTGTTAATAGGCTGTTAATGTACATGTACATCGATATTGCTGCAGTATATCGAATATTGAATGATAGTAAATTAAAATGTATACTTCTATTCTTTAAATATTTTTCGATTACCAGGGGGAGTGGTGCAACCGTTCAACACAACTGTTTCTGTTGAATAGTTGTTAGATTGGAAATTTAGAGTAATTGTGAAGGAATGCCCCTACATTACATGAGAATATTAATCTAACTGGCGTTAATTTTGAAATGGTATATTGCCATTGTTTGAGGTAAATCTCGAGTTTTGGCAATGGAGTGTAAATTGTAGAGGGTGAGGAATGCTAACGATCCAGTGTTTGAAATTTCAGTCGCAAAAGAACGTTCACTAAGAGTTGTTGGAAAGTCAGCAAAACGACTTTGCCCCAAAGGAGGCTGGTGATTTGACGAGTGCTTGCGCGAGGGGCAGGCTGAAGAAGGCTGTGCAGTCAGTCAAGTCTTGGAGTTGAAGTTCCATGAATGTGAGATTATCTGTTATCGCCAAATAGGGATTGGTGGGTGTTGCTAATTTATAAAGAGCTGTTTTGTAGATGAACAGCACGGTATAAATGGAAAAACGTGCTGGTGGATTTCGATGAAAAGGTAAATGACGTCTCCTTCGGTAGAGATAGTACATCCTTCGTACGCCTTCCTTCGGAGGGGAAGTAAAGCCAGCTGACCCATGTTGGTAGATTTACTTGCATGTAAAAGATCCTCAAGCCTAAATGACGCCTCTGAGCTAAATTCAAAATCGCCTGTTTCTCGCCCAAGAAATACCTCCTTTCTCTGCTAGTTGATGAAAGGAGCGTAGCGAAATTTGCGTGGTCAGACGGAAGAGCGGGCCTCATGGCCTGAGTCTCGCCACGTAAAATAAGGCAAATTCAATTCAATTGGCAGTGTCATAGTGGAGGAAAAGGCATTTCCTTCCATTAGGATTAGAAATCAGAACCGGGTGGAGAGGAAATGTCGAGAATATGTTGGAGAAGGAACAAGATTTAATTAACTATTGTATTACAATGAATGAACATTTCTATGGTTTAGTGAGATTACGAGCGAGACTTTCTTTGATTACGTGAGTATGAAAATAAACTTATTTTGGTATATGTACTGTTACAGGTGTGTGTTTTACCATAGTACTTCTACGAGTTTCATTTGCTTTATGGCTTGACTGGATAATTCCGTCGTATGCAATATGTATTCTTTCAAATTTTGATTTTGCATAATTACCTCTTAATTTTATCAAGCCAGTTTGGGGATAAATATTATTTCAATTGGTATTGTCATATGTCGTCCTTATATGTTGCTTTTACACCGTGCCTTGTGTCTACGTCACGGCGAGAACCAAATCTCGCGCCTTGCCGGTTCTTATATGTAGTTCAAAGGCTTGCCGTTAACGCTGCCATCGGAAGCGATGCCTGATATATACTCCCTGGGTAGGTGTGTTACGGCTAGTGAGTGAACATACCATACTCTTTGATATATTAACAAAGCTGATGGACCGATGTCTTTCATCGCTTTATAGAAAATGAACGATACAAGAAATAGAGATTGGGGTTTGAAAGAAACTGCGTTCCGTTGTGTTTCCTTTTCATAGTTACTGCCAAGTTATTTCTGTTACGAAGGAAGCGGAGATATAAGTTAAACTTATTACTTTTGTATATTTTTGCCTGAAAATCACCTTTAAGTAAGTTTTTTGCAACAAATAAAATATTATGTTTATTGAGTTGCATTGTGTGTAATTAGTCTCCACATAACCCTACTCCTAAAAAATTTTTTAAACAACCGTTTGGGGAGAATTAATACAAAGGATTATTTTACATCTTATGTTTATCTTAATCTGTCTATAAGTGACAGAAGTACACAGGTTCTTACTTTGTTGTTAATTTTTATAAATTTCCTTTTTTATTAAAAAAACATTGAATAAGTAGAGTATTGCAACTCATAATTTAATTACATATCCAATATGTCATCAATTGAGGAATTAAGGAGTCAGTATTTCACAAAAAATGAGTTGTCAGAAATTCCCCTCTTTAATAAAAGCATTCTGTGGTGTGTGCCTGTGTTCCACCTGACAACTCGTGTATGTTTAAATGTATTCATGTGGATTTTCAATTCTTTCAGGACTATTTGAACATGGCTGAAACTGTTATGTCTGTGTGTTGGAAAGACCACACCAGTGATCTGGCTACAGTATATAAAAGTTTATTAGAGAACAATTTTTTGGTGGATTGCACTCTATCTGCTGAGGGCCAGACCTTAAAAGCTCATAGGCTAGTTTTGTCTGCATGCAGTCCATACTTTCATGTAAGTTAAATTTATTTTCATCGTTTTTTGTGTAGATCTATCAGATCTCTCTTTATTGTAATAAATACTGCGTCTGGGCTGTAAAAATTATTTCATCAGATCTGTGTGGTAGTGTGTGTTTGTGTTGTTCTCACATCTTGTCTCTGTACGTTGTTTATTAAATCTTGTTTGCATGTAATTATTCTTCAAAAGTGATTTTCAAGTTAACCAAACTTCAATTTTATTGGTCATTCTTGCATTGTATCTAAAGTTCAACTTAAGTTCGTTGTTCAACAAATTAGGAATAAACAGTTTCCATACAGAGCAACGTTTGGTATGGCCAGTTCAGTTCAGTAGATTTATTTTTGACAGGTTCTAAAATAGTTGAATGTTACCAAAAGCTACATCGCTTTGAAAATGTATTCTTTCGCCAGTCGTATTGGCTGGAGCACCAGCTGTTGATGCCTGAAAATGTTAGTTTAATGCATGGTGTTAGAGAAGCGTGAAATTGGAAGTTAAGATATGATTTTCATGAGTGATTTGCATTGTCGAATGTCACCCTAAAAATAATGTAAAAATGTAAACAAATCTCATCAAAATGCAGACAAGAGTATATATGCATTTGAATGAAGTCAACAAAAAGATGTAAATTGACAGGCCATAAGTATTGGATTTAATGGTGCCCACATTGTTTATTTTCTTTATACATTTAATTGAACTTGCAGTATACGACATTTTAATCACAGATTTTTGCATGTAAATACTATTACTTAAAAAGGAAGTTTTAAAAAGTAATTTTTTTTTGCATTCTATGTACATAAATACATTGATATTTAGTGAACATTCTCCAGTTGGCAGATTGACAAGAATAATAGGGAGTAAACATATATAAGTAATAGTATACATTTTTGGATTTATTCTTCACTTTGTAATAATTGCTCCTTTTCCATTATACTTTCCCTTATTGTGAATTTTCAATACAGCTTTCTCAAGCTGCTTTTGTACTGTAGAATTATAATGGACAATATTCAAGTTCAAGCTTTTGTCTGACTTAACGAGTTCTCAAAGCGGTTGGTTTAACATATTGTAAATATATCTGTTAACAAGTTAGGATAATTGTTCATAGGAAGTTGAAGCTTTACTTTTTCAATGTTTACCATGTAATGTCTACTATCGTAAAGAGTAATAGCATTCAAACCATGCAGAATCATCTAGCTGAAGCCTTGCGATTGCATCGCACAAAAGGCAGAACTGTCAAAAAGCTGCACAGAAAAGTACATGTACACTGTATTGAAAATAGAAACTTCCCCAAAATATTGTTTTATATTGTTTAGTACTTATTGTTGAAGGTTGATGAAATGAGGAAGGTTTACAAATTCTGGAACCATACTGTCACTATACACTGCTAACATAGATTAACATGTGTCTGAAAATGTAATTGAAATGTTTTATAATTACTAAGATTTATACATACATTTTGTAATAGCATGATACAATGCTAACTTTAAAAATATAATGCATCATATATAATTATAATCACTGAATTTTTTTCTAAAGAGACACTTTTCAAACGATTGCTGAACAATGTATTTATATACACTCACAATTCTTTGCATTTAAAACTACTCAATCTTGAAACTTCGCTTTCTCACCATCTTTGCTTTGCTAACTATAATCTCACACTTGCTAGAGCTGGATCAAGACCTCTTTGAAGATCTTGACACAATCAATCAATGTATGAATGAACAAATGATGACAGATAGTGCTTATTCTCTTAATGTTATGATTTTATTAAAATTTAATGTTTATACCATAAAACAGTACAAGTAGCAAACAGCAATACAGTAGCAAACTGTAACACATCCAGGGCTCACGACCTTTCATTTAAAGTAAATATCATGAAATTTGGTTGAGTAGGAGGCTGAAATTATTCTTTCAAAACAAAACAGGGATATCAAGGGGATCATTGCCTTCCCATCGAAGGAGTCTGAGAGAACAGAGGGAGGAAGTGTTTTTTAAGAGTATCTTCTAATTCATGGATATTTCACAGTGATTTTGTAACTCCAAATTCAAAACAGGTCTTGAGAATAGCTTTAAATAAATCCACAATTCGAAATCCCCAAATTTAGGACCCTGATTGCTTTGGGTAACTGAGCCTTCTACGGTTTTACAAAAACTTTTGCCCTAGCGAGTTTGTGGTTGGATAAATCTTATAATGTATCTGGTTGTCAATATAATCACATTTTGTCACTGTTTAATTATTTATTTTAATGGCATAAGAATTTTATTATTGGAATTTCCCTTTATCTGCAAGTATTTACTAATATCTGAAAATTGTTCACTCGCCTTCATGACATATTATTTCCTGTCTGTACAGAATAGCAATAGGCCCAAAACTGATTCCTGACTTACTCAACTTGTGAAATGCCTCGCCTTTATCACAGTTACCTCAAAAGGCCTCATGTGATACCTTATCAAAAGCTTTTGCAAAGTCAGTTGGACAGTGTAGGTTATATCAACTGGTTGTTACTTAGAGCTTTTGTCCCAGAATTCAAGGAACACAAGATGTTCAATGTAGTGGAGCGACCCATGACAAAACTATGTTGAACAATGATATTATTTTTAATAGCTAATATCTGTATCTTTATGACTATTCTTCCTCCTTGACACATCCCCCTTTTTAAAACACTTTTTTGTTATTCACGTACATAAACACTCATTTAGGTAGGTCCCTAGCAATGAACGAGCATCTAAACAATGAATTAAATCCTTGGCACTAATATAGAATATTAAAATACTGCTGTGGATGTTAAATGAGGTCAGGCTTTTGGTTTTAGGTTCTTGTTTTGTAATTAAATAATAGAATTGATGGCTCATTGTAAGGGTGCACGTCAGTAGCAATTAATTTAGGACATAGTTTACAGTAAATCATTTTGTTCACAGATAATTATAATTACAATTTCTGAAATTATCTTAAAGCTGTAGTATTTAAAATGTGAAAATCAGTAACTTTGTGGATATATCAATATTCTAAGTAAATTATTCATTTTCAGCGTGCTAAAATAGATTCTAACTTATACACAGTGACATTTCTAGTGAAGTCTTCGAGGTATTTCAGGCAGTTGGGGATATTTTCTGAATATTTTTCTCTAGTAGTGGATTAGTTTAAAATGACAGCTTTTCAGAGGAAATGGGAGAGCATCATTTGCAACATGTTGCTGGACTGACCTCCCATCTTCATAAAGTAAAACACCGTTGTAAATCTGTGCACTATGTCTTTTGAAGTCATAGTTGTAGAAAAGAAATAATAATTTTTCTCATTAATGTATTTTTTTAGATGTTGTTTTGTGAGGAGACTGGGAAGCATTCGTTTATCATCCTGTTGGAAACATCATTTGAAATACTGAAGGCAGTGATTGATTTTGTGTACCAAGGTGAGACCCAAATTTCAGATGGGAACTTAAAAGCATTTCTGGCCCTTGCTCAGTCCTTGCAGATTAAGGGTCTAAAAGATTTTACTAAGAACTATGTAAGTAAAACCAATTACACTTTTGGAATATTTTTTCTTCTAATGACCAAGAACTTGAATAATGTGAGTTTTTATTCTTTCAGAAGAGTAAGAAACCCTCCTACAGTACTGCTGAAACATGTCTTCAAGGACTATCTGATGATAAACAAGCCACCTGTGAAGTTCAAAGTGTTCATTGTACCCACAAGGATAGCTCTGAAAATTATTCTCAGTACCATCCCTGTCGTTTAGATGGCTATGCAGATACAGTGTACCCTAACTCTTCAGTTGCTTTTAAAAGATATAGTGCTTCAGGCGACAAAGTGCAGTCTCCTCAGGAATATCAGATTCCTCTGGGGTATGATGAAATGCCTGTAGAAACAGAAATAACTCTGAAACAGGAACCTTTGAATGCTGCATTTTCAGAAACTGGAAATGACATAATGGATAATGTGAAAAGTAATGAACCTACACCTGAAACTTGTAAAAGTGAAATTGATGCAAGAAATTCGTCTTCCTTTGGAGAACAGCATTTTAACCAGAATTCATGTATGTAAACTAATAATGCATGGAATATTTACAATTTCACTAAAATTTGCATAGACTTTTTTTTTTTTTTTTTTTTTTTTTTTTTTTTTTATACAGCAGATCATTACTGTTAAGAAAACTTCTTGTTCCTTTTTACATTCACAAATAGAAACTTATGTCACGAGATAATGGTTATATGGATGTTGTGCTAATACAGTAGAACCCCTCCTTTACACTTTCCAAGGGACCTCGAAAAAATTGTGTAAAATAGCGGGAAAGTGTAACCAGGGGGAAAACTTTTTGCACATACATTAAACTCTTACAATCCACTTTTATTTAATATATAAACATTAAAAAATACATATTACATGAAAATACAAAAATTCCAATATTTTGTTGCAAGTGTAATATAGATAACTGTTTTGCCTTTTTCTGGTGAATTCTTTCAACTTGCTTTTCAAGTTGATACACGTGGTCAAAACTATTAACATCACCATTTGCTGAAGAAATATATTTTTTATAGTCTTTATTGCAGAAACTTTCTTCTGCACAAGTAGACTCACTACTATCACCATTATTATCATGAACATCAAAATGACTATCATTGTCACTTTCTTCTGTTCGCTTTCTTTGATCAAACTTTCTACCTACACTATTTGCTCAGTCGCTAATTCATCGTCAAAATGGTGAAAGTCTGTAACTTCATTATCTATTTTCAATTTCTCCCATGCAGAAATAAGATCACTGTCTTCTTTACTTCTTCCTCATGGGTTTGGAAGAAGCCAGCTTTTCTGAAACTTTCTGCACGTGGTTGATTGACTCACATCCTTCCATGTCTTTGCAATGTAATGCAGTGCGTTGAGGATAGATATTTTGAAAGCCATTGTGTCCTCTGACTCCATCCAACCTAATAATCTCATTTCGCATCTCTCATAAAGCATTTTTTTCTGTAGTAGGACTTAAAAGCATGGCTTATTCCTAAATCCATTGGCTGCAACTTGCTTTTACAGTTTGCTGGCAAGAATTCAATTCTAATATTTAAGTTCTTCTTCTTCTTCTTTCTTTCTTTTTTTTTTTTTTGATGTGCAGAGCACTGATCAAGAAATAAAAGAATTCTTCTGTCCTGCGCTCCCATCGTCAAATCAAGAGCATACATTTGCCTCTCAAAAAGGTCAGAAGTCATCCAAGGGTTTTTATTGGTCTCGTATTTTGTGGGCAATGTTTTCACATTCTTGAAGCATCAAGGTTTCTTGGACTTACCTAAAACAAATGGGCAAATCTTTTCAGACCCGTCAGCATTCTCTCCCAACATTACAGTAAGCCTAAGTTTACTGTTTTTGCCGCCGTGACAACTCTTGCCTTTAAACATGAAAGTTTTGTTCAGAAGGACACAAAAAAATAGTCCAGTTTCATCTGTGTAAAATGTCATTGGGTGAATACTCCTTCACAAAGGCCATCAGTTTCCCCTCTTCCCATTCCTGAACTCTTTCTTCTGGCACAGCATTTCCTTCTTCATACAACCTTATAAACAATATTGTAAAGCTTTTTGAATCTCTCAAGCCACCCATTAAGACATGGAGAAGTTTTCAATGGAAAGCTTATCTGCCACTTTCACTGCCTTTTCACGTAACAACACGTCACTCAGTAATATTCAAAGCATTAGCCGTCCGCAACCAGTACTTCAGAATTTCCTCCAGCTCTGCATACTTCGAAGAGCTGGCTTACTTCCTCTTATTGCAAAAATGTTCACTTTCATTTACACTTCAAATAATTGAGTCCTTGTTTCTTACTATCATATTCAGAGTGGATACAGATATCCCCAACTTTTGAGCTAATGCAACACATAATCCTTTATGGACTTGAACTTCCTCTAGAATTTTGAATTTTCTTGAATAGAAAGACTCAGTCTTTCTTTTTAAATCTATTTCAGGGCAAAATTAACAACTATAAAAATTAAAACTTTTTTAAAAAGCCCAATACTACAATACCCAACATTTAAGCTTCGATACTTGTCCAATGCTATAGCAAGGAGCACACTACACTAGAGCGAATTTTCAAACAAGACAGGAATTCATAGTCGACAAGATAAATCTCGTTGCAAGAGAGAACATTGCGAGAGATAGCAAAAATCTAACGAAAAATCGCGTTCACATATCTGTGAGGGCTTCAAAATGTAATCGTCAGGAAAAATTTCATTTCAAAAGTGTTAAAGCAGGGTTAAATTTACTTTATGAATACACACACACACAATTTCCTTACATCTATGTTGTATTTACCTGAGACCCAAACTCTGTTTAACAAATTTATTTATATTGGTTCGTGGGACTGAAGTTCCCTCCTGTACAGGATGGGGAAACATGATATTTCTCATTATCATATTGGTAATGGGAGGAGAAATTATCTTTCTTTATCTACAACCAAAAGAGACATTTCATTTGTATATTCAGTACTGTGTTTGGTGATACTGTTGTTCATTCGGCAGCATTAATTTTCGCTGTTGCTATTTTCCTTTGTGACAGTACCAATAAAACCATTACTCAAAAACAACAAAAACAAAACCTTCTATACAAAAACAAAAGCTTAGCAACAAACAAATGCTTCACAACAAAATATTTACACTATCCTAATTCATACTGTGCACATAATAATTTTGATGGCCATGTGTATTAAGCTTTACTAATACTACAATACTTGGCCTTCTTATAATTTTATTCTGTAAGCACAGGTAATATTTGCAGAATGTTCACTTCCCTGACTGTGATAGTGTTGTCGTCTAATCAGAAATCCGGTCCATCCACCATTTCACCACAAAGTTCCATCAGCTGGGCTCATTGTTCCTTGTTTCCACACATCCTATCCGTTTCTACGCAACCTACCAAATTCTGTATATTTCTGGCTCCTAATACACCTCTCTGATAAAAATTCACTCTCCCAAAAACCACAATAACTTGCCTGTACATACTAACGCATGTCATTGGCTCAGAATCTACCATCCCTCCTTTGTCCTTTTCAGTCAGTCCAGTGTATCCATTGTTTTCCAACTATAAAAAAAGCACTCGCTGTCCTCTGTCATCAAGATATTTTTGGAACATTTTATATTTTCTTTACCTCTATTCTGATTTGGCTCTTTTCAGAGGTTCTGAAAATTTTGCCTTTTAATTCGCCATGGTCCCCAAAGTACATTGCCCTCTGGTTCAGCTGCATTGCCGAAATTCTAACTTATTTCTAAAGCTACTTACATCAGTTGCCTGTATTTTTTTCTTGGAGGTTGTAGTGAGTTGTCTCATGGAAAAATGGAATCCTCAGTTATGGTACCGTCACAACAGCAATTGAGTGAAGAAATGTCCTGTGTCCAAGACGTTATTGAGGAAGAAGAACCTTTGCAACCGGAGATTTTGGTCCCAAAAAGTGAATGTGTGGATGACGATGAGAGTCAAGAACCCATTTATGACTCTGATTTGTCAGAAAATGATAAAAATGAAACAGACCAAGTAACGGAACCAGCACATGGTGAACAAGGACCTGACCAATGCCCAAGTAAGTAGAATTCATTTACTTTTTTATTGCTTTTGACAGAGCTGTTGTGCATTTGGAGAACATGAGAATGTCACTCAGAGAAATTGATGACCCTGAACGTAATTTTACTGCAGATATTTCAAAACTCATTTAATTGATTATAAAAACAATGATTTAAGGAGATGTTATGATTTGCGAAAATGATTGTCCCAAAACTAAGGAAGAGAGCAGCAGCAGCAACGGCAGATTTTTTTTATTTAATACGCTTCTTTGCGAAAGAAGAAAAGATGGAGGATGTGCTACATTTTAGACCAATTAGTATACAACTCATATTGTTTAACCTAACCTCAAAATTTCAAGAACACACTCGGTTGTTTCTATCAGGAAGCTAAATTATAAACGTTTTACTTGAATATAAACTATAAATTATTGCACAACAGGGCCTCAAGAGTAATTGTTTGCGTATTTGGTTCTGTAAATTAAGAATTTCTTTCTTTCCATTTGGTATACGTATGTATAACCAAGAAATATATGTAATACAGAGAGTGATGCTAAGGAAAATGAAATTTCAAGATTTCAATGGTAATTCGTATTTTGGGGTCACCTGAAATATTTTTTATTTACTGTAATGTTAACATAATTGGACAACTTTAGGTTGCATCAATGTCTTCCAATATTTAGAAAGGCATAATGATTGAACTGGGACATGCTCAATTAATATTGTCTTGTACTATGCAAGTATTATTAAGGGTTTTATTCAACACAAAAATAATTAGGTAACTATTTTGGTAACTACATGTAAGACGGTTTTTGAGATGTCTAGGGTTAAAAAGTTCACATTTGACCAATTTGCTATATTGCTAATTTTTTTGGTGCTAATGTTTTAACATTGTTCTAAGATACCCCTTTTATGAATAAACTTGTATTGTCTGCAAATGAATAATTTCTTTCTCCAGTAAAATTTCAGAATTATTTATATATAAAATAAAATGTACAGGCCCCAAAGTGATACCTTGTGGAACTCCATAGGCAACAATTAGTTCATCACTTGTGACATTTATTCTTTTTGTTTCCTGTTGGCCAAATAACTTTTTATTAGTGGTAGAGTAATTCCTAATTGAAAGAGCTTGTTAAGAATAATTTGATGGTTGACTGTAGCAAAGGTTTTAGCGAAATCCTAAAATATTGTGAGCCAAAGCCTAAAATATTGTTAAACAAAGTAAAATATTACCAATGGAATCTTTTACCATTTTCAAGGATACTTTCTTCCTCTTCTTCCGTTAAAACCAAAATTGATTTGTGTATTTGTTATTAATTTGTGTTTGGCAATAAAACTATTCATTATGTATTTAAATATTTTTTTCAAATGTCTCAGCAAAATTGGAATAAGAAGTATATGCCTAGTTTGTAGCAAGTCTAAGGTCTCCTGATTGAAAAATAGATATTATCTTCCTTCCTCTTTAAATGGTTAGGAAATATCTCTACCTGTATGCATTCATTCAACTAATGAATACCCGCCAGCAAAAACGTTGAAACCCTCATTTTTCTGGGATGTTGGGTTTCTTCACTTAAAGATTGTATGTGATCTGAGGGAGCCACGTAGGAAACTATCTTGGCAAACATCAACATTAAGTGGTGAAACGTTTTTTAGACATCTGTTTGATGTTAGTATCAGAATATGTAACAGTTTTATTTCAAGTTGTTGAAAAATCTGTTGTGAATGTTAAGTAATGTTGATGATAATAGGCTGTCTTGTAGTCCGCCTGATGCAATTTAAGAGTGGAATGCATTTAATTTTTTCTTTTTGAAAAGTTCATTAAAAACTGTAAATTATCTTCAAGTGAAGGAGGCAGACCTAATTCTTATAGTAACTATTTGCCAGGTGTTTATCTTGAAAATTAAAATTAGAAAAGTGGAATGTATATTTCATTTAATTATTTCTGCAGATGCTTTAGTATTAATTTCTCTTACTTTTTCTTTTCTAAAATAGGACTAAGAATTATAGATCTGTAATTTTCTGTAATTCCTATATTTTTGGTGGGTTTTCCTATATTTTTCAATTTTTTGTAGTAGTGCCATAGTCATAACATTGAGTTAAATATTACTGTTGAGTAACCAATTGCTTTAACTGTGTTAGTAATAGAAAAGTTTGTATTTGGTATATTTCAACTGATTTTTTCATCAGGAGGTGTTCAATTATGTTTTAGGTATCACTGGGGGTTGCACCAAGCGAGGTGAAGTGAACCTAATTACGTTGAATTTTTAATTATTAATTTGGTTTTGTATTGTTATTGTTTGTAATTGCATTTAGAGAGATTTTTTTTTTCATTCTCCAGAATTACTTATTTTTCTATTGTAGTTTTTTTATCTATTTTTTTTTTTACTGTAGTATAATTGTGGTTCTTTCAGTACGTTTTGTAACCTGCCGTAAGCTTACCCATTGCCTTCATACTTGGTGGTTCTTTAAACAGAAAATCAGGAAAAATTAGAAACTCAGTGTGGTCTCAACTGAATGTATATTTCATATAAAAATAGTGGCGCTACAACAATATTATTTATTTAATATTTTTGTTAACAGTAAAGAGACGTTAAGCCAAGGCCGCGACGTTGGATCATTGGTGGTCTATAATGCAATGTGACGCAAGGCGTACTAGAACTGCATGTTGCTGAAGCCTGATTTACACGAATTACTGAACCTCCTACGCATACGCCTACGCCTTGTACCAACCCCCCAACGCCCGAACTGAACGTTTTTTGTTGTCGGAAATGTGCGTAGATTTTCGTATTAAATTCCTACAATTTCATTACTGCACTACTGGTGATGCCCTAGATACTTGACGCTACAGGACGTGATCTTCTGCGGTTTTTTATTAGGTTAGGCTAATTTGGAAGCTATGGGATATACTGCCATAACGATTGTTGACGTACCCATGAGTACAGTTGCAAAATAAGACATTTCTCGAAACGCCGCAACTATACATTTCGTACGCAAAATCAAACGCGCTGGACCTGCGATTACGCGCTGTGCCATGCGGTATTCAACTCCGCGAAACCAGCGGTATATACGTGATAGTGAAACGAAAGGTTTTCGTCCAAATTTGTCAGTAATGTAAACTGGAGTAATTTCTTCGGTGTATAGTGCAATCTCCGCATGCTATGTGGAGGGGAAGGCTGCTCCGATCGGTAATTCTCCGACCTCCACCAATCGAATTCCAGATCAGTACCCTAACGGACCATGGATCATGCTACATCTTTGCTTCCCCCTCCTGGTCCTGACCTCACCTCTTACTTGCAAAATCACGTGCACTACAGTATCCCCCTCATTGGGAGCTTAGAGCTGGTCCCGGCTGGGTCGATGCCCCGCTGGTGAGAGGTACCTCGGTTGGGGAAATCCTCACAAGGACGTAGGTCGGTACCGGAATTCGCCAGCCAGCGGGGAAATGTTATCGTCTCAGCCAGCGTTAAAGCATGCAGTACCATTACGGGACTAACGACCTTAATTGATGCGCCCGGAATCACTAGTCTCTGCATGTCATGGGGGGGGGGGATTGAGTGAGAATTGTGTAAATGGCTCTCAAAAACCATCTTATCTGTTCAGGTGCAGCTGACACTGAGCCTGCTGACGAGGGCCAAGGCACCAGCAAGAGCCAGCCCGCGGGCGGAGAGGGCAAGCGGCCGTTGACGTGCGACGTCTGCGCAGCGTCCTTCACCTTTCCCAGCCACCTCGCCATCCACATGCGCATGCACACGGGCGAGCGGCCGTACCGCTGCGAGGTGTGCGGAGACTCCTTCATGAGATCGTACGATCTCGTCACTCACATGCGCAGGCACACGGGCGAGCGGCCGTATGTGTGCGACGTGTGCGGCATCGCGTTTTCCCAGTCGGGCACCCTAGCCACGCACAAGCGCACGCACACCGGAGCGCGGGCGTATCGCTGCAGCTTCTGCGGTAAAGCGTTCGCACACAAGCAAAACCTCGCCCCGCACATGCGCACGCACACGGGCGAGCGTCCGTTCTGCTGCAACGTGTGCGGGAAAACGTTCGGCGCAGCACAGCAGTTCTCCCGCCACATGCGCACGCACACGGGCGAGCAGAAGTATCCCTGCGACCTGTGCGACAAGGCGTTCGTCGCGAAGCAGCACCTCGACAGGCACAGACGCACGCACACGGGCGATCGTCCGTATCGCTGCGACGTGTGCGGGAAGGGGTTCGCCCAGTCAGGGAACCTCGCCGTTCACAAACGCACACACACGGGCGAGCGACCGTACCGCTGTGAGGTGTGCGATATGACGTTTGCGTGGCCGGGTACCCTCGCCACGCACAAGCTCACGCACACCGGAGAGATACCGTATCGGTGCGACGTGTGCGGAAAGGACTTCACCAACCCAACCAGTTTCGCACGTCACAAGAAGCGGCACGCGGAAGAGGGGCAAAGGTAATTTCACTTCGACGAGAGGGGTGTGGTGCACGCCCATGAAATGAAAAATGGAATGCTGTTCCCAGGCTCCAGCACTGGAGGAGCGATCGTTCGCATGTCACAAGTGATCCGCACCGCTTCTTCTCGCGCGGCTGGTTCCCCCGCTCGCCGCCGCAGGACAAGCGGACTCTGCTTGAGGACGTCTTCATCCCAAGCCCATGAGAAGCGCCGAGGTTCTTCACACGCTGCCTTTATGACCGTGGGAAAGGAATGGTGGACGAGTGACACCGCCGACAGTGGGCGCCGACAGCCTCGAGGCCGTCAACATGGACAACTTCACAGATTAGAACACTTCCGGTGGCGGTGTCACGGAAGCGCGTCTGCGCTGCGGGATTGCTCTGCGCCGCTCGTGTGAATACCTTCATTTAAACCAATGCGTTGCCAACAGAATCACTGCGGAGTGGCTCCGTTGGAGTGTTGCTCGACCTGCTACATCGTTTTGAGAATCAGTAAAGAGCCCCAAAAATGAACAGTTGAATCGATGTGATTGTGACATTTATTTATCGAAGAAAAAATAATTGTGATCTTCTCCCGTTCTGTTAAAAGGAATCGGTATCAGTGCTGTAAATTTAACAGCACAATTTCCTATCCGCTCCCACCCCCGCCGTCTTCTGAACCTGTCTCCTTCCATCGTTTTATTTCTCTCTTTCTCTGCCCCGAAACCTCTCCAGCCTCCCTCACGTCACCCTCCATTCCACCTCCTGTGTCCTCTTTGGATCAGTTTGAGTTAAATAAATGTAATAAATTCAAGAACTCTTGAATATGTCATAGTGGACACCTTTGCGCGATCAATAACTTCACACATACTTGTATTACCAGGAGTGTTTTACTTCCCAAAGGCGGTCACCTAGGCTCTTTGCCCCGCCTCCCACTCGCGAGCATTGAAGTACGCCTTTCGGCGGGCATCCGGACACGTCGGAACGCAACAATCCACCGGGCCACCTCCCCATTTAAGCCTGGGGAGGACCTCCCTGCCAGCTCAGGGCTACTAGGTATCAGAGCTAGGACCGGATTCTAAACACCTTTCACAGTACGCCAAGAAACCCTTCCCAATACCCATGTGTACCGGGCACTGCTTTGACGGAGCCAAGTGCCCAACTGGGGGCCAATCGGACTAAGGCCCGGACGGCTGGGGACTCCAGTCAGTCTCCTCACTGCGCCCTCTTGGCGCTAACGTACCGTCGGTAGCTAGATGCGCGGTCGGGAGGTTTCAAGGTCCTCGTCGGCCTGCATATGGGTTCGGGGTAGAATCCCGCTCTACAGGTCGGCGGATAGGCGTCCAACTATTGGGTTACCTGGCAGGTCCGCTGCCGCCTCACTGCACTCCTAGCGCTAACTGCGTGAATGCCACAGAAACTGATCTGGGTGGACGTTTCCAGTGTCCATTAAAGACCTCAGTCCCTCATGCAGTCTGTTCATTTCTGCTAGGCTTGTCACCATTGTAAGACAATTTCCTTTTTAGATGTAAGACTGAAATGAGCATTTCCGTCAAACAGTGCGCCGTGTAAATTCACCCGCCATATTGCCCCCCCCCCACAAACTCCTGCGTAATGGCAGTGCCCATTGAAGGGACACGTTTGCGCGCTATTGCCTATCTAGTAATACAGGGCGATCGTGTGCCAAGCAGAGGCCATATTTTTTATCATTCACGCGAGGATGCACTTACGTGGTTGTACTACTTTGCTTATTTTTAAATAAGAGATGGGTAATGTTTATACATTTATGAAAGGAATAAATTTGATGAGTGCAAGTAAATCCTGTGTCCTCTTTCGGATTTGAAACCACTTCTCTTCGAGAGTGTGGGAAAAAAGCGAAAAAAATTGGCCAGTTTAACACGTATGTGGTTTCTTTTTTTAAGATGAACAGGCGAAAAAGTGAGATTCTTGGTGCGGAGGCGAAAAAGTGGAATTTCTTGGTCTAAGAAAAATATTTCTGCTTATTTATTTTGATATAGTTGTATCGTCAAAAACTGTGAAAACAATATGACGTATGGGGGAGAGGTGCAATCAACGCATGTTTATCGTTTAAGGTACTTCTAGTGTTGTAAAGATGGCAAGTTGAAAACTATTTTAGCTTATCATAGCAAATGGAAATATAATTTGGAATTAAACCGTTCAAACAATCTATTTTTCAACTTTGACATACGTGTAGCAAAACAAAGATAACGAATGTTAATGGAAAATTCGGTCTCCCGTATGGAAACAATTTTCACCTTGATCCTTTGGGACCAAAGGAATTGTGCCCTTTAGTCTTGTAATTTTTAGTACATTTTTATTTAAGTTTGATATTTTTTGTATATAACTACGAATTATATTACGAAAAATTATAAAAATGTCTCAAATTATTTTATTGGTAAATTAAATTTGATAGTTACAAAAATGAATGTTATTGATGCTAGTTGTCTCTTCTCTGCTCAGAACCCTTACATCATGAAATCCTGAAGATGTCTTTCTTTGTGTGTAAGCGTTCAAAAGTTGCTGAAAACTTTTGTAATTGAATGAGTTCTGCCCAGTACGTTTCTATTAAGTCTACGTACGCTATTAAGTCTTGTAAATTAATGAGGATAAGATGATGGAGAGCACCACCAGGCAATCGTTGGGACCTGAACCCTAGAATCTTGTCAGACCAACGGCAAGTTTCTCCTGAGTCATCTCGGCCGGTAATAGTGTTGGAACGTAGCAAACCATCGGTCTTGAACATTAATTTCGAACCTTTCTCAACACCGGCCAGAAACATCAAGCTAACATCACCTCACAAGACGTTTTCTTCTCAACAATCTACCTTCATAGATTTCCATCCGCCCCCTTACAATGATTTTCCTCCATCTGACTCGCCCAGAGGTGCTTTCTCTCCCACATGTACAATACATCCCCGAAATTATATGAACAAAAGTCAAAGACCGACCAGACCCTCAGTACTTCTGTTGGCGAGTGAACCCAGCGTAGGTTGCGAGCTATTGTTACTCGTCCACTCTCTTGTCATTCTTTCTCCTCTCTTTCACCCAGTACCACAAAGTGTACTCCTTCCTAGTGACAGAAGTACATTGAAATCTACTTCCGGAAGAGATTAATTACAGACTATCACATTGCGTCTGATTAGAACTTTTGATCAGCTTTATAACATTCAAATTATTATATATTACTATTTTCATTACATGTTGCATAACTGAAGTTGAGCTGTTTTAGTAGATCGACCAATCATAAGATATTACAATAAAATAATACTTTTACCATGGAACAAGTATAATTCATTTCAAAATTGACATGTGCTGAAGTTTCGGTAATGGTATCTTGAAATAGGCCAACTGGAAAGAATTTTCTGTTAAAATATTTGATAGCGAGGTTGCACAATCTCCAGATAATCTAAAAAAGATCTCTATCTTAGGAATATACATTTTCCTTTCAATAACATTTAAGATATTGCAGCAATATGAATGTATATGGAATTATTTTTAAATCAAAGAGTGTCCAATTGGCGCTGTCTTCGGTGTTTTCGGTGCCTTATTAAGTATTGCACCACGTTGTTGGTTCTTCGCTGTATTACCCACGGAATCACCACATTATACGTATTTATACAGTAGTGAAGCTCAGCCCATTTTTAGCTAGTTAGGGATGCGCACGCCTACAGGTAGCAATCCTGGCGGAGGTCAAGTAAAAAGCTGGGTAGATGCTACTGAAGTGTATGGATTTCTTCGTGAAATTACGTTTATTAAGAGCTGATTACAAACTTAAAAGAAAAATCGTTTTATTCCTGGACCTCGTAGTTTTATATTCCCAGGATTTCAAGGGCGAGTCATCAAATAACACGTAAAATGACATCGAACCACCGGTTTATCCTAAAAATTGAACATGTATCAGAACATATTTGAGATGTATGAACTTAATTCTTATACGTTTCTAGTTAACACAATAACAACGCATGTGTCGAAAGGAGCGCACTGGTCTGCAATTAAATGCTGTAATAATGAAAAGAACCCTGAATTACGTTCATTTTACTTGTCTAATAGACCTAGAAATGGGAATATTATTACCTCATGACAACTTATTATCGCCTAGATACCATTATTTATAATTTGGATTACTTAAATTTCTATACAATTTTTATAAATGATATAGAAATACTTGTTCTTCCTTAGAAATCACTATTCACCTTCAATTGACAACATTCATTAGATTTAAATAATTTCTTTCCTCAAAAATTGTTGAAAACTGTCACATATTGTTTTAGTCGCATGCATAAGAAAACGTTTAAAATATATCAAAGCATTACTATTTGATTAGATTACGCAGAACGATGCTGTATTACGAATTGTAAGGTGGCGTTGTATTTCTTGATAGCGCGCGGATCGCTAGAGTCGCTGACTAACATGTCATTGGGCATTTAACACAGAGCTGCGCTATTGTATAAATACATATACTGCGGTATTAGTGGGTTTACTTTATTTACTCTTTGGCCCTTCGTTTTATAACACGGAGAACATGACCGCTTTTCGGTGATGCCACCAGGCATGTGGCGCTGTCTAGCGCTGCCACGGTGTAAGTGCTGCGCGGAGGGAGTCTCAGGCATGGAGTAGAGATATACTAGAGTGCGCAGAAGGCCCAGCCGGGTATCAACATCTCTCGCGCCCAAGTCACGTGACTTTGGGACAGCTAGCAGGAATCTGCTATATACCCCTCGTACTAAATGATTTCATTTAATAAGTATCTAATATGCTTCACTCTAGCGTTATTTTCTTATTTATAACACAGCCCTAAGAATGTTGCTTATAGCAGAAAAGTTACTACAAGTTATTCTGCTCTTTTGCATATTTTCACATCTGCAGAAGCTATCAGCCCACGATCATCCTTCCTCTGAATGAAGGAATGTGATCCTTCATCACTATCAGTCCAGCAACGAACTATCTTACAGTAAACACAATCAAGTGACATTTCCAATTTTTTTACAAGTCCTCCAATATACGTTACAATGTCCACAAGATAGGGAGACAATCTAGTTTCAAGATTGTCTACTGACGGCAAGTGGCCAATTGGCACCTCAATGCACAGTTCAAGATCTTTCACTTGCGACGCACTTGCATACTGGCGTGAACTAACATTTAATATAGTGGTTTCATCCTGTGGAACACAATTTGCAAAGGCAGAAGAAGAAATCTGGTGATGCACCAGTAATCGCTTGTAAGCCCCAGCAAATTGCTTATCAGTAGGATTATTGTTGAATCCGCCTTTGCACCATATGCAGCTGAAAAACATTTCCAGATGGTCCTGGCTAAACTACTAGACCCCCAAATAATTACGCTGTAGCACCAGAAATAACAAACAGCACGTAAAGGTACACACAATTCAACGCAAAACAAACTACCGGTATCCCAAAGTCACGTTACTTTTGGCCACCGCATGTTGAAACCTGCGCAGTCGGTTCACGCGCACTCTAGTTGTATCTCTCCTCTATGGTTTCAGGAGAATAATGTTCGGTCTTCATCTGACTGACTGCAACGTGATTTTATAAATGTCGCTTGTTATTGTAATTACACAAGTTCAGTCAATTATTGACGACATTTAAAGTATTATTTATTACGTGTGGAGGATTTGTTTTCATTTAATATTAGATTTATTGATTCGAAATGAACACTTGATAAATTCTTTGTGCAAAGTTGGCCGTTATGGAAGAAATTCCCTTTCTGTACACAACCGTGGCTGCATATTTCTCCCTGTAGACAGACAGTGTGTGTATGTATGTATGTATATATATATATATATATATATATATATATATATATATATATATATATATATATATACACACACAGAGAGAGAGAGAGAGAGAGAGAGAGAGAAATTCCTTCCAGAACAGCCAACTTTCCACAAAGAATATTAAGTATACATCATATGTAAGAAGTAAAAGTTAAGTTCAAGAGAAATCGCTGGAAAATGGAGTAAGTTTAAAACGAATGAAGAAAATATATTATTAATATAGATAAGTCAGAAATTAAAGGAAAAAGAAAGCCAGAAAAGTAAGATGAAATGATGGTAAAAATAAAGGCTAATACAAACAATGCCAGAGACAACAAAATAAACGCATGCAAAACCAACAGAGAAAGACAAGAGACGGATACGAAAGCACACAGGCAGACATGACTCAATTTCAAGGAACGTTTTATTTCAAATAGAATTTGCAATGTGGGTAATTCACGTGAGGTCATTCCACAGAGCATTCACTTGAGTCCACATGTTGCAAAAACTTTGTGAAACTGAACTTACGAGTACTTGTGATGTTTGCACGTATGTGTACTAGTAACTTGTAACCTTTGTGAAATGGGCCCCTTCTATCATGCTGGCCTGTACTGTTTACAATGTCTCCACCAGGGCCCGGCAATTCTCCATCAAAATCGGGGACAAAGCTCGAGGTTGCTACTATAGGAAGCGCTAGTGTCGCCGGGTGCAGCTGCAGGTTCGGCTCGCCAACTTTCCCACATAAAAATTGGCTAATTTGTGAGAAATACGAAAAGTGTCTTCTAAATGTACAATTATTCATAATCTCTACTTGTAAGTAACCTCTGAAGAAGCGCGAACATAGACGATATCTTTGGTAACATTATGGTCCTGCTTGCGACTCACGCACCAGTGACGCACGTTTAAAGTATCGTTGGCAGCAGTTCCTGTTTTAGTTCCTGTAAAGAAGGTGATGCAGCAGAGCGCGCCACCATAATGGTCTCCACCACGTTATATGGGAGTTATAGGGCCCTGGTCTCCACTACGTGAGGTTGGTGAGCCAACCTTGTGAGGGCAGCATTGAGGCAATGTAAAATCTGAAGTAACGTTGGACGCAAAATTAAACACGCAGTTCATTGCTCCCGGTTTTTTATTAGTACGGTTTATTTAGTCGTGCACTTAGCGTAAAATGATCTGTTGCGGTTTCATCCAATCGAGAGCTTATATGTCGCTACGTGACATCATTATGGGGACGTTCAAGCTTCCGATTGGATGAAATTGTGAACAGCCGATTTACGTTAGGTGCATGGTTATGTAAAACCTAGTATAGATATCGATTCGAAACAACGTGGTGATCCATGATGCAAGGAAATCACATCAGATCTGGAAATCATCAGAAATCATGCCTCCGAATACTGCATGCCACCTGGCCACGTGCCAGTGGTTCAATGCTTGTTCTGTCTCGGTACTGCAGTGTAAAAACAGCACTCCACCGTCATCCTGTATAGGAAAAGATCGAAAAAAGGATTGTGGTATACTAGAATTGAGTTTTATTTGAATGGATATTTCACGTTTTCTTGTGCTCCGCAAACGAAACCTAACCCTTTTTTCTACCGTTCATGTTCAATAACAATATGCTGAAAGCAGTAATCGGAACAACTTTTTGTAACAAATATTTGCTCACGTAAAATCTGTATGTATATTGGCATACGAACCACAGATTTAATTTGAAGCGTAACCTTTTATTGTCGCATTTTGCACAAAGAATGAAAAACCGGCGTGAGCTCAAGAAAACGTTCATGGAGTTTATCATGCTATCGGTGACTGATATCCTGGATATCCTTTGAAAATATCTATGTTGAAATGTATGATAAGCCTTACATAATATTTTATTCTCACATTTGTGTTTTTCTGCTTCATATTTTGTAGAGCATATCTGTTGTTCATTGAGATAATTACGAAAATGAACATAATTTCTGGAAGAGTAAATATTGACCTTGATGCTAGCGAAACAAAATTTTTTTAAATAATAGATTTGTGATTTTTTATTATCTTTAGAAATCATTGAAGCAAGTCATTTCCACAGCATTTTTTAATGTGTAATTGTAGATTTTAGCCCCCCCTCCCTTTTTTTAATCCAGCAGGTTTCGTTCTGGTTTTCTCTAACATAGGTCAATTATTTGTTTCTCTGGTAGAATGCTGCACAATAAATATTTTTTAGTCATAGTACCTTCCTCTATTATTTCTTGTTATATAGAGTTATAAGTGATGTCATTTTCCTTATGGGTTTTGAAGAATAAACATTTTGAGGTTGAGTTGTAAAGACCCAGTGTGATTATTTGTGTAACAAAATGTTGATTAAGCTCCAAGTTAGTATTTACTGATCAATGAAGGTTTGTGCATGTTAATTGGTGACTAACTAAAACACATTTGGGTGACATTTTAACAAAGTGAAACATTTATATTTTAAATATATTTTTATGACATTGAATCCTTGTCATGAAGAGAAAGCAAATTGAAGGTCAGCTTCTTTTGGAGCCATTGTGAGGGTGAGGCTTTGGACAGATGAAGGTGATTTAAGAGGAAAGAGATGATTGTATCGGTGCTAAGTAGGAAATGGGCAGATGTGAGGGGAAAGAAAGTTGAGGAGGAAGAGACATATAGTTTTAGGTTACAGAGACGTTGACTTTGTGTAAAAATGTCCTAATACAACAATGAGTGAAAATTTTTAGGTCCTGAGTAGAACCAAAACCATAGAATGAAACAATTTTTTAAAGGAATCCAAACATTTATTGAATTTTACAAGAATATGGGTAAGGGCTGCCTGATATGATCTGATATAATTTGTAAATCACATCATTGTCGTATCTGTAAGAACTATCATTGGGTGAATTTTTACTCGTCCTACATTTAAAGGTAACATTTTCTTTTTGGGTATGTTATTGTCTTAAAACTTTGGGAGTTTTAACTCTGAAAAGGATGAAATACTTAATTCATCATATTTTGTGTAGTTGTTAATTTTTCTTTCAGAGTAAACAATGTAAATAGATGCATTTTTCTGTAATTTAATATTGGTCACGCCAGTACCATGAATATGATATTCCGTTCTAAACTTTGCAAACAGCATGGTATGTGTACAGGCCGTTTGTAGTCTTAAAGTTTAAACCTGGTATTGGAGGCAAAGGCCATTGAATGTAGCTGAATATTCTCTGATAGGTTATTTAATAGTTGCAATACTAAGTCTCCTGATGATATATTTCCTCCAGTAACAAATTTTCTAAACTTGTATTAAAAAGTGGATTTGTTTCAGGGCTACTTGACCATGGCTAAAGCAGCCTTTTCTCTGTGTTGGGAAGATCACACACGTCAGCTTGCTGCAGTATATACAAGTTTATTGCAGAACAATTTTTTGGTGGATTGCACCATATTTGCTGAGGGTCAGAGCCTAAAAGCTCATAGGCTGGTTTTATCTGCATGCAGTCCTTATTTTCATGTGAGTTATTTGTTATTATAAAGAAAAGTGATAACTATTAAAATATTTAAAAAATTCATTAATAATTGTTACATATTTTTGTATGTTGTGTATACATTTAATTACATTTATCTATATGCATCCTACTACTAAATAAATTGCTTTCTCGTCGCGAATAAAATAAAATAAATAAATAAAAAAATGGGAACAAAGGATAGTGTGGAAAGACTAGAAAATTGGCAAAGAATTTCAAAGAAGAGTAAGCAATGTTCTTTCATTCGAGTCCAGTATTACAGTAGAATCATAATTCTCCCATTCATACAATTGAGATTTAGAAACTAAAACTAGGTATGTATATATATGTATATGTATATATATGTGTATATATATGTGTATATATATATATATATATATATATATATATATATATATATATATATATATATATATATATATATATATATATATATATTCACACACACGCACACACACCCTGGAAATGAAGACATTTGGCAATAATTAAAGGTTTAGATGTTCTTGTCATCTAAATTGAAATTTAATTTTGATTTATTATATTGACATGGGCATTACATTTGATTAATGCATAATAAAAAATATCAACTGTTTGCTTGTTAAGTTTTTGTTCTCAAAATAATAAATTTTGTATGGTGATTGAATGTGAGTTGGTGATAACTTATGTACCTTGACTTATCCAATGATATTTCAAACATTCTTTGGAACATATGGGTGAATATTCATCTACAATACTGGATAGAGTTTATTGAGTATAATCAGATTAGAAAAAAAGCAGTGAAAAAATACCAGTCACATTGCAGTGGATATTCATTATTGTGAAATGCATGTTTCAAAGATAACAGTACTGTATTCTTTGTGACTTGTCATTGGTTTGGCTTCCAGCTTCATAGTAGAAACAGTCAGAGAGAGATGTGTAGTCTCCACCTTTTGAAGTCATAATTGTAGAAAAGAAATTATAATCTTTCTACCTATTCTTCTGTATTGTTGTTTTGTAGATGCTGTTTCAAGAAGAGACCGGGAAGCATCCATTTATCGTTCTTGTAGATGCATCGTTTGAAACACTCAAGACAGTGATTGAATTTGTGTACCGAGGGGAGACCCAAATTTCAGAAGGGAACTTAAAAGCATTTCTGACTCTGGCCCAGGCCCTACAGATCAAGGGTCTAAATGCTTTTTCCAAAAATGATGTATGTATATAAAGCAATTCTACATTTTGCATTTTTTACTTCTAGTATTGACAAAGTGAGATAGTGTGTGTTTTGCTTGTTTCAGAAAAATAAGAATCCATCCAGCAATAATACAGGAAATACGCCTCAAGAACCATGTGAAGATAATGAAAACACCTGTGAAGTGCAAAGTAATGCTAGCAATGAGGACAATCTTGAAAATAATTTCCAGCCACCCCACTATTCGGAAGGGTATCCAGATTCTGAGCGAACAATGTTCTCAGTTGGTGATGAAGGCCGTGGTGACTCAGTTGCAGAAGGGCAGTCTCCACGAGAACCCCTCAGATCCCTGGGATGTGAAGAGGCTCCTGTAGACTCTGAAATAACAGTGAAGCATGAGCCTTTGTTTTCTGAATTTTCAGAAGACAGAAATGTAATTTTGAAAAATATCAGAAGTAATGAATCCACATCTGCGAGTGAAATAAATGGAGAAACTGCTTTTATAACTGGTAACTAGAGGTGCTTTAACAGCACATACTTTTCACATTGTTAGAAAGAGTTATGTAATATTGAAATATTGTAATTTCTGTCATACTGAAGTCTCTCTTAAAGTAGTCTCGAAAACTCAGTTCTAACTTGAAAAAGTCAAATTCGACCAATTCAAATGAAACACTAGTGTTGCATGTCTGTGTTTATTTCAGAAGCCAGGAACAGTAGTCATTTCTATCTTTTACTAATGAAACAAACTTGTATAAATTTAACTGTTACAGTATTTGCAGCACGTTTTAAAGAAATGAAATAATAATATTTATCACAAACCTGCATTGATTACATCAAAGTGAGCTAGCAATATCGGATGACCATAATCACCTATCTAAACTTCTTAAAGTAAATACTTCTTAGTTCTATGTTAAATGTATTACCTTCCAAATCTATTTTCTTTCGTAATTTTATCTACATTTTACGATCATCATAAGCGAGAAGCATTGGAATATAATTTGAAACCGCCATGTTGCCATTTTCCAACTGACAACATGTCAAACAGTGTAGGAAAATAAAATTTATAATTTTGATTTTTCTGTCCAATTTTTGAAAACGGACTGTGTTTACCTGGTATATAAATAGCACCACTTTTTTACTGTCCTTTGATACATACAAGGAGAAATTTTTAAGTAAATGTTTGATGCCATTTTTTAGAAAAAAAATGTTTTAAAAAAATTACAAATTTCACACCAAGGCAAGTGAGTACGCTGCCGATGAGCCATCTTAGAGGCCATCATAAAACTAGTAAAACTATTGCATTCTAACATAGCATTGATTGCCTGACAAGTTTTTATATTGAGTGTACATATTTAGTCTATCATAAGTTCTCTTTAAAATTAAGAATTTTGGGATGGTCATAATTTGTGTGTATTCTGTGATACGTAAGAGAATTCATTCTAGATTAATGTCCATTTATGGTACGTTAAGTTTTAAAATGGTTTTTCATAACTTTTTTTTTCTCCACATAGTGCATTAAAATTCAATGCAAGACTCGTGTCAATGGTTGTTGAAATAATTTGTCTTAGAAATTTTCAAAATTACCCTAGTTGATTGGTAGATGTAAAATCTACAATGATTTTGAGACTACTTTAAGAGACTGCGCATCTCCTTAGTGAAACCAGGACTAAATTAACACTAATACTAACAGGAGTAGAATTTATGATGATTTGAAGACTATTTTTAAAAAAAACTGCATTTCTGTGTAAGGAAACTAGGACTGTATATTAACATTGATACCAACGATAGTAGAAAATACCTTTGCATTGTGATATCATTCATAAAATAATTGAAACACTCTTATTAAAAGATGTAGTTAAAATGTACATTATTATATCGTTCATGGTATATACAAATCATTATGCAGTCCACAAGATTCAGGTATTATTAGTCACATTTCTGTGAGCATATTAATATATAAAATTTTCCTTTCCATTTAATAATGAGTCTTCTTGTAGTAGTGGAGTGGCTCACGTCACAATAGTTAGCACGTCTTTCACATCTGTGGCCTGGGTTCAATTTGCAACTAATCCATATGATTACGTGATGATTAAAGTGCGCTAAGAGAAGATTTTCTTGGAGTTTTTCCCACGCTCTCATTCAACCATTTTTTCATCATTCACCTCATCAACATTTTTGCTGCCATTGTCTCAATACATGGACCTGACAACCTCAACAGGTGAAAGGCCCATCTTCTAGGTCCACCTTCACCCCCAAAATCTATCTATATTTACATTATCGAATAGAGTGGCAAGGGTGTTGAGTTATAACACATTAATATGTGCAAGTTCTGAACCAATATTCATGGAACTTTTGTGTGAAGTTCAGGAATACTTTTGGTTATGATTTACAGCAATAAACTTTCATTAGTTACAAAATAATTATTTCTATTAATTTTTTTTCGCCTAGCATTTCATTGAGGTTTCGGGAATTCATCAATGCAAAGTTGGGTTAGTTTGCGTCAATGACTGTGTTGTATGATTAATTTAATCAATGTACAGAATTGTATATCCTTAGGAATGGTCAGGCCTTAGGCTATTGTACATTTCATTGTCTAATCTGAAATGTTCATTTATAAGAATGATTCTATCAGATTTTCTTCACTCTTAATTATAAAATATTGGTTTAAATATCATCTTAGTGTGAAGGTATGAAGCATACAAGATATATGAAACTATTGGAGGAAAGTCATTTTGTTGATGGATGCGGTTGGTTTTGTCATAAAAAATATAAATGCACACATGTATTCTATGTGAAATAGTTATTGGTTTAGTTGTAGTAAATTAAATAATTATTTGCGGGATGCATGAGCAAAAGTGAAACAAATGAGTGGTTATATGTTGGTGGTCAAACTGACAAATTAGGGAAGTGTTTAATGATACTGGAATGTGAAAGTGTGCTTTTGGGTGATGAAGGAATGATTGTTTAAATTAATGAGAGTAAGCTTGGTATGATGAAAGTATAATAAAGGCGAAAGAATAATGAGTAATGGGTAATTGGAAGAACTGAAAGTGTGTCAACACTGTTTGTGAAAATAGAAGCAAAGAGTAAATTTTAGATAATAGAAATAACTTTTAAACTTATTAACTTAAGTCTGGATCCAGTGTGACCTAGGATTGTTAGAGGCATTGAATTGTGTAGAAGGTTATTGGCACTTTTTCATCAACTTTTCAAGGACCCTAATACATGAACTTGAATGCAATTAAATGCTCTTCAAGTATAATTTAAGTGTGGATTGGCTCAATGTGGCATTAAAGATCGATTTCAAAACTCATTTTGAATTCATCAAAAGTAAAAAATAAAATAAAAAAAAAAAAAACATAAAAGATTAAGTTTTACAAGGTGGCAATTCATTGAAAGTAATGGAATAGCATATAAAATTCTACAAAAAAAACTGTACACAAATACAAGTAGTTTAATTTTATATTTGATTAATATTGTTTGTTATATTAAAGTAAGTGAAGTTTGGGGATGTAGAAAAAGTTGTTACGAAAAAATGCAAATATTTTTTAGTTAGAAAATGAGTGAGGTAGACTGGATATTTGCGGGTGGGAGGACGGGGAGGTGGCAAAGGGGATTCAATAGAATTGATAGAAGTAGGTCTCACCCCAGGGCTGGAATAGATGAAATTCCTCTTTCTGTCTATTAAGTTATTGTGATTAAAACATAAGTACTTCAGCGTGAGTTAGTAAATGTCCGTGCTAGCATCCAATAATGTTTACTTGACAGTTGAATACCTACCAGCAAAAAACGTTGTAAGCCTCACTTTTCTGGAATGCTGGGTTTCCTCGCATAAAGATTGTATGTGGTGTGAGGGAGGCATGTAGGAAACTATGTTGGCAAGCATGAACATTAAGCACCCTTTTTCTTTTGTTTGAATATCGCCGTGAGTCGCACAAGTGCATGAATATGACAATTGAGGAGGAATGTCATGTAGCACTAAATTTGCATTTTGAGGTTTACAAGTATACTTACGTACACAACAGGTATTCAGTTGTGTAAGTAAGTGGGTCTGAGAGGTTTATTTGTAAAATTAACTAATATTATAAAAAGGGTACATGTGCAGCTTATTGCGTAATGAGTATTATAAGGTGATTCAGAGTTGAAGTTAAAGTTCTTAGCTGCCTTGTGTTAATAATGTTGACAGTGTCTTCACAACTGAAACTTCTTACATCTCATCTCATTTTTTTTAAGAGAAAGCAACAAACTTCTTGGGTGTTAAAACATAAAATTAAAAAGATAAAATTAAAATTTTTTAGAATTAATAGAATATAGTGTACTATTTGTTAACTCCACATGTCCTTTTAAATTAAAATTCCTTTATTGTCTTGACAAAGGTGCTGTGTCTCTGAAGTGGACATGATATAGCTATTAAATGATGTTTTTTTTCTTCTTCAAGATTGCTGTGAATCCTCTCATGGAAATGAAGAATCAACAGTAAAACCACCATCACAACAGGAAATAATGAAATTGAGCAGTAAAGTGTCTTCTGGCAGAGATGAACCTTTGCATCCAGAGATTTTGGTTCCCAAAAGGGAACACAGGGATGATGAGAGGAAAGAACCTAAGGATGACACTGATCATCCAAGAAATGATACAATTGAAACTGATGAACCCACAGAACTTTCTTATAATGAACAAAATCTTGATCAATGCTCAAGTAAGTGGAAGAGTTTTATTTATTTACTAGCAGAACCTGGCCGACATTCTGCACTTCATCTCTTTCTTCTTTCCTCTGTGACCCCTCTCTCCGTCTCTCTTTCTCTCCCCTTCTCTCTTTTTCTCTCCTCTGTTTCTCCCTCTCTTTCTTTTCCTCTTTTTTATCTTCCTCTTACTTTGTCTCTCCCTCTCTCTTTCTCTTCTCACTTTGTCTCTCCCTCTCACTTTGTCTCTCCCTCTCACTTTGTACTCTCCCTCTCACTTTGTACTCTCCCTCTCACTTTGTCTCTCCCTCTCACTGTCTTCTCCCTCTCACTTTGTTTTCTCTCCCTCTCACTTTGTCTCTCCTCTCACTTTGTCTCTCCTCTCTCGTCTCACTTTGTCCCTCTCACTTGTCTCTCCTCTCACTTTGTCTCTCCCCCTCTCACTTTGTCTCTCCCTCTCACTTCGTCTCTCCCTCTCACTTCGTCTCTCCTCTCACTTTGCTCTCTCCCTCGCTCACTTCGTCTCTCCCTCTCACTTCGTCTCTCCCTCTCACTTCGTCTCTCCTCTCACTTTGTCTCCTCCCTCTCACTTCGTCTCTCCCTCTCACTTCGTCTCCCTCTCTCACTTCGTCTCTCCCTCTCACTTCGTCTCTCCCTCCCTCTTCGTATCTCCCACTCCCTTCGTCTCTCCCACTCCCTTCGTCTCTCCCACTCCTTCGTCTCTCCACTCCCTTCGTATCTCCCACTCCCTTCCGTATCTCCCATCCCTTCGTCCTCCCACTCCTTCGTCCTCTCCCACTCCCCTTCGTCTCTCCCACTCCCTTCGTCTCTCTTTCTCTCTCTCCGTCTCTCCCTCTCCCTTCGTCCTCTTTCTCTCTCCCTCTCTTCTCCCATCTCTCTCCCGTTATCTCCCCCCTCTCTCTCTCTCTCTCCCCGTCTCCCCCTCTCTCTCCCCATCTCTCCCTCTCTCTCTCTCTCTCTCACATCGTCTCTCTCTCTCTTCGTCTGTCCCCCTTCCCCTCTCCCTTTGAAAAAACCAACATATAATAGAATGTTCAAGATCATCTCATCCTGCAGATTATTGAGAGAAACATTTCTGTGAGGCCTTTGGGCTCAAAATTTTAGTTTTTAATTCCTAACGCTTGTTTGGAAGTGATTACACGATAGTCAAAAATTTTGCCATGTGGTGTGGGATATAGGGATATCACTGTAGAACAAAAACTAACTTTGTCCATGGGTAGTGTCTGTTATGTGGTTACTTGTCATGCTTGTAGAATAAGTATTTTTTAAGTTAAATTGGCTCTAACAGACTGATTTACAGACAGATGAAATTTTTTTGACAGTACATTTTACTTATAATAGCCCGAGAAACATTCGTTCGTTCATTCATCACTCACATTAGTCCACTTCCGATAGAATTCAACTATTTTTGAGTGTATGCTCCTATAGGAATCGCAGGTTACCTTGAGTTCAACCATTGAACCTGTGCAATGGCACCGCCCTGCCGTCTTTTCGTTCTATCAGCGCTATTATGACCTGGTTGATCTCGTGCACTAATTTGCCCCCTTACTGTCATCTCTGAGCTCAGCATTAGTTGACATTACCACGTTCCCCAACTTGTCCCATCCTGCTCGACGACACCCCGGGTTTCACGGCAATGGCCACCAAAAATGAAGCTCCTGTGGATTGCAGTACTTTCTTTTGAATTTTTCTGATATTTTAATAGTTATTCTGGTATTTCAGGCAGAGATAAATCCAACAAATCATAGAAAATTAAAATTGGTCCAGATGTTCTTGATTTCTTAACAAAGTACAATTTGTATCTGTCATGGCTTAAGTTCAAAATATGGTTCATGTTAGAAGTTGCTTTTTAATTCACACAGCCAGAAAATGTGGATAAAGTTATATGAATGACAATGAACAGATCATTTCGGACTTCATTCAGTTTATCTTGGCGTTTGCCACTGGGTTGCTGGTTAAAGTTAGGTGATTATTCAAGTGTCTACATTTACAAGAATTGGTATATAAGGCGTAGGAAATTGTTTTCCAGACTCTCAAGTTTGTAATATGCAATCGTGAAGGTCAGACCTTGTCACCAACTTGGAAATGCAGAGTGAAGCTGAGGTGAATAGAGAGTAGGTTAGGTACTATCGTGAAAAAAGAAATTTCAAATGACGAAGAGGATCTCGAAAACACACATCTTGCCTCTCACCAGCCTTAGAAACTTTCTATCGGCAGTCTCATCCAGTTTATCACATTCGCCAATTTTTATCTATTCCTCATCATCTGCCATAGACTTTTGATGGCTATCAACTCCATCCTGATAATGTTTGTTTTGAAACTATTCCTAATTTGAACGCATCCACCCATTTTGGATAAGGCCATCATTGGCCACCTTATTGACCAATCTTCCAGATTCAAACTATATCCTTCACAAATATTCAGGCAACAGAAGTACTGTTCATGCCTAATGTGTTATTTATATTAACAAAGAAATAATAACTGATACTTACCCCAGTGTGTATACATTTTCATTAATATTTAATTCTTAATTTATGTGCAAACTAGTAATAGATATCTGCTGAGTAGAAAAGTAGTATGAACTTCCGGAAATCTATAGTCTCCAAGTACACTACGTATTGGGGATTCCATACATTCATAACTCTATTGAAGTATTATTTTTGTTGGAGTTTGATTTTGTCAGTTTTATGTCATGTTCAAGTGAGTGTAGATTGGTTGGGCAATGAAATACCTGGAATGTTGTATTGCCCCCAGAGGATTTTGTGTTTCTGTCGAGTCACTGCATTCCCACCTTAATGGATGAAGACTTAGTACCTGAAATCAGTGTTCATAGCTCAGTGTTTGGTATGAGTGTTATTTTATATTCTCCATATTCCAAAAGCCTCTGGTCTTTATGAAATGTGGGTTTCAAATACCCAATACTTAGTCCAACATTTACCATAGAATGATCCGTACAGTGTAGAGATATTCATCCAGTATCAGGAAAGGTTTTCAAATCAAATTAAAAATGTATTGCCTTTTTAGTTAATATATTGAATACGATGTTTCCATTTTGGGTACAAGATCTAAATCCTTTGATTAAAATTCCTATCCATCATTCTCAATTAACAAGGAAAACAATTTTGACCATTCGTCCGATGAACAATTTCTTGAATTAAATATTGCAGTTAATGCCTATTTATTAACATTTGCACAATGCGATGTTTGAAGGCTCAATTTACCCCATTATCAGACTAGAAACAACACATTTTTCTTGAATTGTACATTCTATATATTTATTTTTAAAAAAAATCTGTACTTATACTTGTGGAACACCGCATATCGTTTTTGGAAACAATAACTTATTCCAATTGTTTTGTCAACATCCAACATATGTGTACCCTAATGCTCGTTGCTGCTGATAGTGGGGTTCAGCCGAGTTGGCAGACAAAGTCCTTCAGCTAATTACAGTGACTCATTGCCCCTAAACTCTTTCTTATTGTCCAAATAACACTTCTATCTATTTGACAGAGGGGGGTTCCGTTATCCAAACAAAGGCATCAAATTCTGATGATGGTGATGATGATGATGATGATGATACTGCTGAGTTGCTGATGCTTATTATGAAATAAATTTTGTTTAATAATGAAAATATCACACTGATAAGCAACTGAAAATTGAAGCATGCTATTACTACTTTAGTTATGTATAATGGGTGCGCTTCTGTGCCATTTACTGTCATGTGCTCTTATTACAATTTAGTTTCTTGCTATTGCTGGTATTGTTTTGATCTGAAGTAAGAACGACCACACGACCATGGGTCTGCAACCGGAGTAAGTAGAAACATTGCTCTATCCCACCCCCAGGCTGTTAAGTAGACAAATATTCGGACAATAGCTATATTCTCCTAACTACACATTTGTCCTTTTGTGAAGTGAAGTGATATTTTGCCAACGGGGTTGGGAGGACAGCAGTATCGCAGTGGGTCGTCCTGTCACTACGTGGCCCAAGTTAGTTCGGATAATGCATTTCGAGACTAAAGCGTCATCATTTTTCTTACAGAAAAGAGACAGACCAGACGAAGTTATTTGTACGAAAACTGACGCATGCTTAATTTTTCGGTACATATTTCATCCAGTTTGACTACCGCGATCCAGGTTTGTTATGTGTGTGGTGCGATTTGATCCTTTTATACAATTTCAAGAGCGTTCGGATGTGAATTCTTACGCGAAGTGATTATGTAGTAAGAAATCAATTATGTACTTTGTTCTAGTGCCGTTCTAGTCGCGCTCCGTGTTGTCCTAATATAACTTACCTTAATGGGTCACCATAGATGCGATGTTCAAATTTGATAGGTTTGTTCATGCTTGATCTTCAGCGCGTTTTGAGGCATACGGAGGAAGTGGCTCGAATAACTTTCATCCATTTTCTGCCCAGAACGAACGTCCCTTTACCATCCACTTTCTGCCCAGAAAATGATGAAAAAAGGATACAAAAATGACATACAGGCCTAAGAGAAATTGCATGATTGTACAGGTGCAGGCAGCCTCTTACGAAAAAACGGGAAAACGCAGCGACGCTGCGGCATGCGCCTGCGCGCTCGACGAACGGAGAAGATTCAGGCGCTTCCATTGCGGGAGGGCCAACGCTCCGGCGAAGAGGGGCCTACGGCCTCGTCGTCGTCGTCGTCGTCGTCGTCGTCGTCCGCCGCCGCCGCCGCCGCATGCTCTCGCGAACGCCAGCACAGCTGCGACGTTTGCGGAGCCTCCTTCACCAAGTCCCACGACCTCCTCATCCACGGGCGCACGCACACCGGTGAGCGGCCGTTTCGCTGCGACGTGTGCGGTAAAGCGTTCGCTCACCGGAGCTCCCTCGTCATGCACCTACGCACGCACACGGGCGAACGGCCGTATCGGTGCGACGCGTGCGGTAAAACGTTTGCGTATCCCAGCGCCCTCCGCTATCACACGCGCACGCACACCGGAGAGCGTCCGTATCGTTGCGATGTGTGCGGGGACGACTTCGCCCGTGTAGGCCATCTGGCCCGTCATAAGCGCGTGCACGTGGGTGAACGACCGTATCGCTGTGGCGTGTGCGGTATCGAGTTCGCCCGGGTACACACTCTCGGCAAACACGTTCGCTTGCACAGAAGGCGTAGCGCTGCAGCGTCAACAAAATAAATGTCTTGTTGCATTCGCATGCACGCTGGAGAGTAGCATTCTGCTTTCGTTCGATTAAGCCAACTTTACTATCACAAGCGTACTGTAACCACACGAACAGTGTGGCTGTCTCGACTCACCTGATTACGGCAATCCAGCGTTGCCCCGGGTGCCAGTGTGTAGACTCCTTAAAGGGATGCATGCGTGAATGGGCTTATTCTCGTTATAGTACTGCATTGAAACAGCTACATTTTCAAAGGAGGATTTAATATTCCTTTTGGCATGAGGTGATGCCTCCCCTTGTAATTCTTAACACTAGCTTACTACTAACTTGTCTTAAATTCAGCCGTACGGGCCTGAGTTCATCCTTCGAAGCAGGGCGGCGCCCTTCCCGGCGTTCATGACCCAGGTTACGGGAGCGACGGCCCTTCTACCTGGTGCTTGGCGCTGTGCGGTCGGGAATTCAGCATATCGCCTCACCTCTTTGCCCATTAGCAAGACGGTCGGGGCGGCGTAGTGGCGTCTCGGGCGCTAGAAGCGTCTGGTCCGGGCATCGGCGGCATGGCTCACGGCAGCGGTGATCGCGCCTCGGACCGTCGTCAGTCCTGGGCTCGAGGTCGGGCTCCCACAGCCGTTGTCCGTGGCGTTCGTCCTCGAGTTAGCGTCTCCAGAGGCGCCCCCCAGAAGCCAAAGAAACTCGCCCTCGTCCCTACCTCGCAAAGGCACTTCTGTTCGCTGTCGCCTTCTCTATCGGAATGGCCGAGCTACCTCCTCAGGTTCGCGGGGCCCTTCCCCGCTTCGCTTCCGCGATCGAGGGCGCGCGTCACGCGGGTTCTTCGTCCTTATCGCAGCGTCTTGATGACCGTTTGAGCCTCTCCAAATTCCGTTGACACTCAATCGTCATCCGAGTTCCAAGAACAGGTGCCGCTGATTTGCCGGGTTATGAGACAGCAGCGTTTGTATTTCCCTGTAAGTCAGCGGATGCGTTCGGGGCGCGCTTCTGTAACGAGACAATGGAGGTGCATGCCTCCGCGCCTACACCCTCACAGGAAGCGAAAGATGCACATTTCCAGGTCCTCTTCCACAGCAACATTACATTGAATAAAATGTTGAAACACGCGTCGTAACCTGACGCGTAACCTGACCATCCCATTACAGAACGTGCACGGGAGAGCGCCCGAATCACTTTGACATGTGTGGAAAAGGCTTCACCAACCGAAGCAGTTTTACCCCACAATGCATGCACGCGAAACAGCTACAGTATGGGAAACCCGATTTGTCATAGGAACAACCACAATAGGCCTTGAACCACATAAAGAAACTAATTGAACACGAGTCTCATTAAACAATGTCAGTGAGTATGACATTTTTTAATATTCAGGGTTACAGTGCAGTTAATATGACCAAATGAAAGCAGGTTTATTTCATTATCAAAGCGAATAAAAAATTGTGCATTGTAACATGATACATCCAATTTTTTTAAAATTTGGGTGACGACTGTTACTATTACCTGTATTACCCCAGTGTTGGTATGCTTTTTTATTGCCGCTTTTTCATTATTTTGAATTAATGTATTAAGTTTGAAAATATGGCATAATTGTAATGTGCAAAATGGATTGTAAAAATTAAAAAAGTTGTATGTTCCTTGATTTGAAAGATTAAATATATCAGAGTGTGGTATAGGATGAGTATTTCAATTTACCTTGCAATTCCTTTATCAGGTACAAGTCCATTTGCCCCAATACAAAAGATGCCAATATCATTTTATAAAATGTCCTTATTATTCTTGGACATTTATTTCATTTCAATAGATATATTTGTTTCTGCACATTATATTCAAGCTGAACGTTCTTGTTCTTGAATAATGGCTCCAGCTTCTTACCACTTGTAAACGAAATATCAATTAATATTGTTAATTATCTCGCCCTCTCAGATCATAAATGAAATTATATAATAAAATTAAAAAATACAAATTAATTATAAAATCATAGGGGTGTGAGTTTTCGGGATTAAAGCAAACATATTGAATGAATATGATGATATGAATGGAGAGATGATCAACTAGGCCAATATTATTGCCAAATTGTGTGTTTTTGTTAAGCTAAAGGTGCAATTATCTTTGGCAAGAAATAAGCTCCGGTTTTATGTTTATATATTTTTATGAATATGATGTTTGGGAGGAGAGTATTGGAAATTGGTATGGTCAAAATTGACCATTAAATAGTAACATTAATATTACAATTTCTGAAAACTTTCAATAGTTACAAAAGTCCGAATTTCGGTGCACTGAATAGCCCTTTACAATATTCTTATCCTTTTATTAATAAATATCTCCATTTTTTGTATAAGGCCTTCAAACCTTCCTGAAAATATTTATTACAGTTTAGTGGGTGTATCCCTTTCCTAAACAACTATAAATTACCACAGTAAGAAGATCCATCATGCTGCATTGCACAGACTGCGATACTCAGGAGTTAGATGATTAATTGATTTAGCTATTTGATCAGAAATTATGTTTTTGTTTTGTAATCGAGTGTAACTTCGCAACTAACGTGAAGGCAATGGACGTAATTTAAAATTTTATTAATTATGATTTTGCAATTTTTACTTTATCGCCTTTCCAAACGTAAGGAGAAGAAGGAAGATCGCCATTTGCCGCCCTCCGTCCTCAACTCCACACACTTCGTCGAACTCATCCGCTCCACCAGAATACGCCCTGATGATATCCTGGTCAGTTTCGATGTCACCTCTCTCTTCACTAGGCTGCCAGGAAGTGACGCGATCCAGATCGTCATAGACAACCTAACGCTACATCAGCTTCCGAGGGTGTGGGCCAAGCTCATTGAGATCTGCCTTACGTCCACCTTTTTCCAATACGGGCAAGAGTTCTACGCTCAGACGGAAGGCACCGCTATGGGCTCACCGCTGTCCCTGGTCGTCGGGAACCTTTTCATGGGAGCTTTTGAAGAACAGGCCCTCGAAAAGGCCCCTTAAAACATCGCTATGGCTACGTTACGTCGACGATACTTTCGTCATCTGGCCCCATGGCTCCGAATCTCTTCACACCTTCCTCGAACACAACAGCATCCATCCTCGCATCAACTTCACTATAGAAATAGAAGAAAACGGGCAGCTCCCTTTCCTGGACGTGCTAGTGACCAGGCGCCCTGACGGCCTGGGTCATTCTGTCTACCGCAAACCCACCCACACCAACCGCTACCTACATGCTGACTTACACCACCATCCTGCCACGAAACGTGGTGTCCTTTCCACACTCTCACCGATCTTCCCTTATATGTGACCCCAACAGCCTGGCGTCTGAGGACGATCTTTCTGGCTAATGGTTACAGGGGATCCGCCATGAACCAAGCCCTTTCGAGGCTCCACTCTACCACATCGAATGCACGAAACGAACCTTCCAGCCCGCCCCGCAAGACAGCCCGATTGCTTTACATGAAAGGAGTCTCGGACAAGATCGGAAGAGTGTTGTGTAGAGCCGACATCCGCCCCGTGTTTCACTCTCGCAACAAGATCGGGAGGAGCCAGGTACAGGAAAAGGATAGTCTGGACCCTCTTCAAGATGCCGGCGTTTATGATATCCCGTGCAGCTGTGGTCTAGTTTACATCGGTCAAACCGGGCGCACCGTAGAAGAGCGCATGCGGGAGCACATGCAACATGACCGGCTTCAACATAGCCACAAGTCGGTCTTGGCACAACACGCCGCCGAAACGGGTCACTTCGTCAATTACCATGAAACCCGCACCATAACAACAGAAGACCGGATATGGCCTCATCTGATCAAAGAGGCTTTGGTTGATCTCCCACTTGATCGACTTGGTGGGTCGATCCCTCACTTGATCAACTTGCTGGGTTATTCTTCCACTTGATCGACTTGCTGGCTCAATCTCCTACTTGACCGACGTGCTGGGCTACTCTTCCACTTGATCAACTTGCTAGGCTTTTCTTCCACATGATCGACTTTCTGGGCTATTCTTCCACTTGATCGACTTGCTGGGTCGATCCCCTACATGATCAACTTGCTGGGCCGATCCCCTACATGATCTTCTTGCTGAGTCGATTCTCTACATGATCGACTTGCTGGGTCCATCCTCTACATGATCGACGTGCTTAGTCGATCCCCCACATGATCGACTTGCTGGGTCAGTCTCCCACATGATCGACTTGCTGAGTCTATCCCCATACATGATCGACTTGCTGGGTCGATCTCCTACATGATGGACTTGCTGGGTCGATCCCCTACATGATCGACTTTCTGGGTCAATCCCCCACATGATCGACTTGGTGGGTCGATCCCCTCTTAGATCGTCTTGCTGCATCGATCCCCAACTTTATCGACTTGCTGGGTCGATCCCCCACATGATCGTCTTGCTGGGTCGATTCCCTACATGATCGACTTGCTGGGTCGATCCCTTACTTGATCGACTTGCTGGTTCGATCCCTCACTTGATAGACTTGCTGGGACGATCCCTTACTTGATCGACTTGCTGGGTCGATCTCTCACTTGATCGACTTGCTGGCTCGATCTCCTACTTGACCGACTTGCTAGATCGATCCCCACAATTGATCGACTTGCTGGGTAGATCTCTCACTTGATCGACTTGCTGGGTCGATCCCTCACTTGATCGACTTGCTGGGCTATTCTTCCACTTGATCGACTTGCTGGGCTATTCTTCAACTTGGTCGACTTGCTGGGTCGATCCCCTACATGATCGACTTGCTGGGTCGATCCCCTACATGATCGACTTGCTGGGTCGATCCCCCACAAGAACCACTTGCTTGGTCGATCCCCTACTTTATCGACTTGCTGGGTCGATCCCCCACATGAACCACTTGCTTGGTCGATCCCCTACTTGATCGACTTGCTGGGTCGATCCCCAACATGAACCACTTGCTTGGTCGATCCCCTACTTTATCGACTTGCTGGGTCGATCCCCAACTTGATCGACTTGCTGGGTCGATACCCATCTTGCCCGATACGCGACTTGCTGGGTAGATCCATAGCTTGATTGACTTGCTGGGTCGACCCCTCACTTGATCGACTTGCTGGGTCGATCTCTCCTGATCGAATTGTTGGGCTTTTCTTCCACTTGATCGACTTGCTGGGTCGATTTTCTACATGATCGTATTGCTGGGTTGATCCCCAATTCGATCGACTTGCTGGTTCGATACCCAACTTGATCGACTTGCTAGGTCGATCCCCTACTTGATCGACTTGCTCGATCGATCCCCTACTTGATCGACTTGCTGGGTCGATCCCTCACTTGAACTACTTGCTCGGTCGATCTCTCACTTGATCGACTTGCTGGGTCGATCCCCCACATGATCAACTTGCTGGGCCGATCCCCTACATGATCGTCTTGCTGGGTCGATCACCTACATGTCGATCACCCCTCCGTTATGTTTATTATAATATAACAGTTGTGAGAGACAGAAATTCAGAACTAATTGAATCTAAAAAATTGCCAAGAACGTAATCATATGGAAAGTGGTTTTCATATCATGGTCGGAGATTGAATAATTTATTAATTTCCTAGATATATTAATTTATTTTTTATTTATTTCCTATAATATAGGCCATATCGGCAGAAGCTGCAAGGCTAGAATTAAAGAACATTTACACGCAAGGATACAAAACAAACAGAAGACACTTTTCTACACATCTTATAAACGAAGACCACAATTTTTACCTCGACCATTAAATTTCTAGAAATAGAACAAATCCTGGAACAGAAGTGCTTCAGAACATGTTCAAATTTTTCAATCCAAACAGAAATCTGAAGCTTTCAACGAACATTTCTCTGTGTCCTCTCTGCTAATCACTTTACACACTCCTCCACAAATCGACTCTTCCACCTCCTGAGACATTTCCAAGAAGAACGTAACCAGACCTCCTCCGACCCCTCACCCGCAGCCATCCAACACATTCTCCGTTCCAAACTTCCTTCTGCGCGCTCTCCCGTGCCTCGCCACCTATAGCAAGGTAAGCGTCTCTACTTATTCTGTGTTACTTTTAGAAGTTTCATTTGACATCGTTTTAAAAATCTTTTAATTTCAATATTTGTATTATTTTGATGTTTATTATTTTTTAAGATTTTATATTTATTTTGTTTATTCTAGACTGATGACTACGGGAAAGTCGTCGAAAGCCGGATAACTGAATAAACCTAAATTGACAAAGATGACGTCCATTATTTCATCCTTTAATAATGTCAACACATCAGCATTCCCTCAATATCGTATTATACGGTTTTAACAATCTACTGAAGGTAAAATTCTGTAAATAACGAAGTGGATAATAATCACCACAAATATGAATTCAATAAACTCTAAAGCTTAATTAAAGTATGAAGAAACAATACCAACCACTAATCAATTAGCGCGGAACTACAGTGGTAGGTCAATGAAACAATATTTGAACGAATAGGCACGACACACAAAATTTGTATTGAACGAACTATTTTTTACAAACTTAACTAAAATAGCTTGAAATAAACATAGCAACAATGGTCGAGCCATATCAGATGTGATAGAACTCGAATAAAACAAATAAAAGTAAAATTATAATGGCTTAAGAACGGCGTAAGATATATCTTACATAATTTTGGTGTAAGATATTTCTTACACCGTGGCGTAAGTCACTCACTGCCATACCACGCGATGCGTAATCTCGATTGCAAAGTGTATTATTTTTTGTAAACCTAAAGCGACATCACTTGTCTCTATTACGGTATGCGTCACGCAATTCTGGGAAAGATTGCAATAACGGCCAACACAAAACGAGCCTCCTTATACAAGCCTTATGTAACTTTTGTTAGCGTTTCTGAGTGTCTGGAAAGCATTGATTGAAATTACATTACTTATTGGTAAATATTGCTTCAGCTTTCGTTAGACTTCCAATAGATTAATTACGAAAACAGAGTTTTCAATGATTCTAATTAATCGGTGACGGTAACAACTACAAAAATAAAATTGGAGTGAGTCTGTGATTTCAAATTAACTGATAGCCCAATTAGAATCTGAGTAATTGAAGGTCAAAATTGTTACTATAAGTTTGCCTGGAATGGTCAGGAATGGATGTGGCAATGGTGGTAGCAAGATCCATCGTAATAAACCGGCCGGAGCCGCACGAGGCGGGGCAAGGGGAATGATTGTGATTAAAAAAAAACATCCGGCCATCGCGGTGCACTTTAGTTAGTCTAAATAGAGTATATATCAACATTTTCATCATTGAACCTATTAGTTTGAATTTTTTTCAGTGTTTCAAAATTAGTTTTAAAAAAAGTTTCAAAATTAACTTGGCACTTTAAGTATCTCTTGCATTTCCTTAAAAACTTTTACCCGTAGTTACACGCGAGTCTCTCGTGGGCGGAAACACGACCGCGTTATGCTAATGAAGGAAGGGGCCATTCTCTTTTGTGCCTAAGTAATGTGTGTGAGAGAGGGGGAGAGAGGGTGAAAGTGGGAGCCTCCATCGATTGGCCCTCGCCATCCCCAAATGCGCTTTTAATTGCGATTTGTATTTAATTTGCCTCGGGAGTTCGTAATCACACGCCATTGTGTTCCAAGCATGGGCACCCTAAGTGTAGGTACTTTCGAATTTCCCTTTCTTCCGAGCTGTTTTAAGGTAATTCGCTATGCTGTGCTCTCACTAGGCATTATTACTGTCGTTAATTGCATTGGCAGTTTCTTTTAGAATTGCTTTACTTTCTCGCCACATAGCTAGGTGGAATCCAACTGGATAGAATTCCAGCGGCCGGCTGCTCTGATCGGCTGTTTTCCGCAGTTTCTTCGATCAATGCCAGGCGAATGCCAAAGCAGTGCCCTAACAAACGGGCCACGCACAGCTCGCGATCTGTCATTCCCCTTCCTTGGCCTATCCTACCCACACACTAACATACACTACACTACCACACATGCCGGGAGACCGGTCAGGAGCTTGTCGTGCCTGGGGTGGTGCTCCGCTTGGAGGAGATACCTGATGAGGGTAACCCGGCTAATCGGCGGTATCTCAGTATCCAGCGGGGCAAGATCACTGCCGCCTCTCGAGGAAATGATGCGCTACACGTGCGGGACTAATGACCTTAGTCGTTGACGCCCCTTGTAACCACCAATCAATGAATCTCTCGTCGCCCTTGTCGTCTGCCCGCCGCTTTGTCCGGGGGCAAATCTGTTGCTCTTGTCCGCCATTTGCCTTCGTGACCGCTCCTGTTGTAGAGTGTTTTTTTTTTATACAAAAGTTAAGGCTTTTGAGTTTCTTTACAATAAGTGTAATGCTTGCGTTGTTTGTATGTAGCGAACACTGTGAACTTCCTACAACGGAAAGAAATTTGGATATATCCTAATTTTTTTTTTTAATTTTGAATTTCCGCAGACAATGGACTTCTGTGGGCCGAAGGTGCGCCAAAAAGACGAAGTGAGCTATTTCATGAAGCTGTTTTGAGCAACCGCCAACGAAACGCACCTCACGTTCTGCACCTGCAGCTTCTGTTCGATTTGATGAAGTTGGACACTGGCCAGCGCACAACAGCAACAGACGAAGGTGTAAATTGAGTGTAAATAAACTTTCCCGAACAAGATGTATAAAATGTGACGTGACTTTGTGCTTCTACGAGAAGAGACACTGCTTCTTGCTGTACCATAAAAAATAATGACACCTTCCTAAATGTGCAACAAATTCTGTTTATATTTTATTAGCTGGTTGTCCGTGTATTTATTTAACACAATCATCTTTAGCCGCTCTTCCCATCCCCTCCCCTCCCCTTCCACCTTATCTCTCGCTTGCTCGCTTCTGGAGGTCGTCCTCACCCTGGTGTGTTTTAATACCGAGCAAGATTTGGACTTTCATTGGGAAGGACTTTCATTGGTACTAAAGCTCTACCAGAGTCAGAATCACCTTCCACTGGGCATGTCCCAACGTGGCCTCTCCCTTCAAAGCTGCAAAGATTTCTCCGCCTGCCTGCGCTCTTAGACACAAGATAATTAGCTCTCTTTCTCTCGTGGGTCACGCGGTAATTCAACACTGCGAGTTTGGCAAGAACTTATTCAAGGTGGGTTGGTGCCACTTTAGTGAGAGATACCGGGGGAAAACTCAGCAAGCTGAGTTGTAAGTAGGCGGCAGATCTCTCCATCCATCGCCAGAACTGCCGTGATAAGACATAGGCTGCACTCACGGGGCTAATTCATGCGGTTAACGCGCCCTATAATACGAAATAATCTTTTTAGCTATGTAAAATGTCTTTTTCTTCGTTTTGCAGTCTATCAAAACTTGCAGCACTAGCTTTTCCAATTTTCCCTTCTCAACTACACATTGTCTTACATGAAGGTTTTGATTTTGATAAATATGTCTATTTGGAAATATTTAAGGGATTACACCAGGTTTAAAGTCAGGGTGTGACCTTTCATGCATCTTGATTTCTCTATCAAGTACAAGCGGCATCTATGTCGATATTTTGAAATCATTGACGTTTCTTTAAAAACATCGATTTATTGAAACCGATGTTTTTTCAACATCGATGTTTTTGTTTTATTTATGGATGAAGAATTTTCATAATCACAATTTTGTAAAAGTGAAAATATAAAATAACTGATTTTGTACTATTTTCATCTAGCACACTATCCCTCGCCCAAAATGATCGTGATGATTTTGGATTTCCTTCGTCTTTCATCGTAGGAGATATAATCGCCATCACACGGAGAGGCGTTTGTTTTAAGTATATAAATTAATATATACGGCCTCAGTCAAATTAAATTTTGTCGCGCACAAACTGAATGTTTAAGATAATTAAACCTGTTTAAAACATCGCGATGGTTGTTGGTCGTTGTTTGGCAGTATCGATGTTTTGTTGTCGATGTTGCATCATTAGGCTCGAGGACGGAAGCGAAGATCATTTTCGCTCTCGCAATACAATTCGAATGAATGATGGCAATGTTTTCGAGAAAGTTTTCTTGGCCAATTTCTGTCACTAGAATTTCTTCATTTGAACTCGTCAGAATAAGGAAATCCTAAATACGGTGCTGAATATGGTTTAACGTAACCCTGGTAAGGATATCATTTTTCAGCAGGGGACATCGAACTCTCTTAGTGGGAACTATCCCCAGTACCCCCCTTCTCCATTAGTTTGCAACCTGCTCCTTCATTGTTTCCAAGGTAAGGATAGGGATCGAGAAGTTCGTGGAGAGAACAGTGAACGATCTTAACTGAGCGTCTTAGTCCCCGCCTCTACTCCAAATGCCTCCAGTCACAGGGCGCTCCGGGTGGCAGCGAGTGCAGCTACTGCGTCGTGGCAACCGGCGTGAGGAGGAGGGGGGGGGGAGGGTTTGCTCGGATCGATGCGTCAGCTGACGAGGAGGGGGGCACCTGTTGCGCGAAGTTGGGAAGGGGGAGACTGGTAATCCCACACGAAAGTTCCTCTGGGAAGCATCGACTGCGGGAGTGACAGTAAGACACGAAAACCGGCAACGACGTCGCCAGGCCTCGCCGGGCGCTGTTGTCTGAATAATATTTCTATATACTTGACAGGTAGCTGCTGACAGTAGAGAGAGGGTTCCGTTATCCAATCAGAGGCTTCAAATTGTGATGATATCACTATGGAGTTGCTGATACTTTTTAAAAAATAAAAGAAAAAATCTTACAACGCAAAGCAACTGAAAACTGAAGAGCGCCATTTGGCGCTATTATTTGTTTGGTTATTCATCGTTTGTGCGAATCTGTCTGCTATAGGTGGTGTTCTCGGTACGATTTAATTCTGGCTACTGTTGCCGATGTTGCTGTTGTTGAGATCAGATGCAATAATGCCATCCGACCACGTGTCTGCCTCCGGGGAACGTGGCACTATCGCTCTACTCCACCTCCAGCTGTCAAGTAAACAAAAATATTATTCTGACAGTAGTTGGATTGTTTCCTGATTATTTAGTGTTTCCGGGAACGTCAAGTGTTAAGGTCGTTATTAGGGGGTGTATTTTAATGAAATGTTTTTTCTTTTCGCTTTAGAACAATACCTTTTAGTACAGACGTTAATTCTACGTGACGACAAAAAGAAATGACCCATTTTTGAAGACTATGTTTTTACATCATTCGACTAGTCAGTCATATTTTACCTTCTCCCTTCATTTTTAAAGTATTTTTCACGAATTTCATCGATTTTAATATCATTAAAACGGTGCTTACTTTAAATAATAATCAAGTCCGAGATGCAACAAAAGTTTTCCACAAAATTCTGAAGCAGCCGCTTCAATTTTTTCGCTCAGGAATTGTAATATCGGCGGTTGTGAGTAGGTAATTTAAAGTTCCTGTGACGCCTGTCAGCGTCATTGTGTCTTCGACCGATTTCGCGATAATTAAAGACGCAGAAATCCTGGTAAGAAAAGCCTTAACCAAACCGAAAAAAAAAAGTCCAAGCCGAATTCACTTGAATGAAACGAACGATTACATCAGTCACATATTCAACAGCTTCAGTTGTTCATATGAACTGGTTTTGATCAAATTCTTCTCGTCACTTTTCTTTGCTTTCAGGGCATTTTACAAATATTTTAAGAGCACCTTATTGATTATTTTGACGATGTTTTACGCCATCAAAATCCATCCTCTAGCCATTAGTCTCGGATTGGCTCGCAACGGAGCACCGCCCTAGCCGGGAGAGACTCTAGGCTCCCGACGGATGTCTCAGCGTATGTAGTACATGTACGTGTAAGTGTGTGTAAGTAAGAGGTGAGGAGATGACAAGGACGTTGAAGGAAAGATCGCGTTGTTAGGTTACTGCTCCAGGATTCGTCTTGTGTTGATCGGAGAAACCACAGAAAACTACCGATCAGAGCAGATGACCGCTACAATTCTCCAGAGAGCAACTGAATTCGCCCTAGCTCCGTAGCTAGTGCCATAAATCCCCTCCACCGTCAGGACTCGAACTCCACGGCTTCCCGGTCAGAGTCGCTGCAGAGAAGGCGGCTTTGCGAGCGAAGCAAAACTCATCCTGTGCTCGTCAAAGTAGAATGGGATGATCCAGAAGTGACTTCATTTTTTCGCACTTCATACTCAGTTGCCATTATCTTCTTGCGATCTTGTTTGAAGATACAGCACAGTTGTACAAATGGAGACGAAAGAACATTTTGGGGAAGAAAGAAATTTTTGAAAGAGTCACTTTAACATTACGAAATATTTTATATCCGAAAATCTCTTAAATCCCTCGCTTCCCCCTTTTTTCACTTTCTCGCTATCGCTTACTCAGTAGAGAGAAAGTTACGTGGAAAACACAGACAATTTTCGCCACAAAAGCTCTTATTACAGGGCCCTGGTAATGAAAAAGTGCATAAACCTAGTTGCTAAATTTAGAAAAATAATCCTTTATCACATAGCCAGAATCCATGTTTTGTGGGTCCTTGATATCGGAAGTCGTCTGTCCGATTTTCTCCTAAATTGATATTCCCCAATCGATCTGGCCCACGTCGCAGGCCCATGAATTTGAAACCAATACTTGAATTTTTGGGGGTTACTTAACACGAAACTCCCAGGACATTTTCAAAATTTAAGGGGAGTTAAAAGGAGGATTCTTTGATGGACCTTTTTTTCAGAAACTATTGCAAGAAGAGCTTTGAAATTTTCACAACATATACATTGAGTCTTTCTTATCAATTTAACACAGGGAAATCTTTTAATATTTAGAATAGGCATTAAGTAATTTTTAAAATGTTACACTTTTCCCTTAAATTAAAAAAACAAAACAATTATCATACCTGTCAAAATAGTAGTGTTGATAAGAGCCTGTAATAAAATTAAGACAACCACTGGTAATAAGCTGTGAAAGTTTGGTATACCTACCATCCATACTTTTGGAGAAAATGTTCCTTGTTTATGAAAATATGTAACGTACGGGAAATGGCGTCTTAAGTTTTATGACAAAAAAATGCTCAGCTATTTGCGCTATGTAGCGCTCTATTAGTTCAAATTGACGATACAACAACATATTAGCACCAAAAGTTACAGGAACATGTAAGCATGGAGTTCAAACAATTGCTGCGCGCATGGATTCGACAACAATGCGCGAGCGCTATCGTTGGATTTTCATATGCCACGGGAAAGACGAGAGTCTAAACTGCTCTATTCGTATGCAGCAGAGACAGTATTCCCTCTTATGACATCACTATAACGTTTCGGCAACAAATCGCTTGTTTCATAAGTGAATTGACTTGCTCCCCCATAGTTTTCTCATCTATTAGTTTTGTAGTACCAAGTATTTATTTCAATTTTCTCAATCTCAACTTTATTCACTTTTGAATGTTGCTTATGCATTCAAATTTTTGTGCAGTAACATCTGTACATTATGGTTTTAATAGAGTGGAAATACACATATCGAACACCATACCTTGAAAGTCTAACTATCGAACCACGCCCACATTCGGTGCATGTACTTAACATAACTGCATCTCAACTTGTAGAGCATAGAGAGCATAAACCAAAATTTTAATTGTTTTCTGAAGAGCAAGATCGAATTTTTAAAAGAAAAAAAATCAACAACGACAAAAATTGATGGTTTTGAGGGGTTGAGCCCCTCCAGCTCCCCATAAAAAAAAGGTCTATCGTTTTTTATTAATTTTTGTTGTTGGATAGTGTAAAGGTCGTTTAAAACAACTGTGCAGGTCTCATTTTCGTTGAAAACTGAGATTTCGAAAATGACAAATATTTTTAAAAAATTCC